AATAGTTGAAAGAGGATCGTTTAGAAAATCCATAGCTCTAGAGAATTGATAGCGAACTGTTGAGGAATTCAATGAATAAGATGATCTTCTTGTTTACCAGACTGAATGCATCTCCTGGCAACAATTATAACTTCGATAAGCTGTAACTGGATTAACCTTCTCGAATCACAATTAATGTTAACTACGGTTTGCGCACTTGATTGAATATAATTGTTACCAGGAGATGCATCCAGATGGGCAAACGAGAAGATCATCTTATTCATTAAATTCACAGCATCCTTAACAGTACATGATCGATTCTCCAGAGTTATGGCTTTTCTCTTATATGTTCTCATGTTGTTTATACTAAAAGTCGTTTAATAAACACATTGGATTGTTTCTTTGTTTTTTCCCCATTGTCATTTTGACCAAAAGCAACAACTGGTTTACATTTTAATCCTTTAATTGCTCTCATAACAAAATGTTGTTTATGGAAGCAAGAAAGCTCATTATCAAGATAATGAGAATTACAGGTTCATTATTACTTACCGACTAGTTGATGACAGTCGAAACTTCTTTGAATAAATCTCTTTATTCTTCCGCAGATGTGTAAGCAGGAGCACTGATGTGTTTCAGAAATCTCAATGCTAGAGGGAACGTATTCCCACAAATACACAACATTGCAATGACACTGTTTGTGCTCCATTTATTGACCCTCTCATTCTTTTAAATATGCACCAATGCCAATAGGGCACTCATGGCGTAGTCATTTTGCCATCGGACGCTAACCGCAAAACTTCGGTATTTTTCTTTTAGTACTGCTCAAAACGTTGATGAATTCATTCGTGTCCATTCACATAGTCATTGGGATAGCTATATGTGGAAGATGAAATTCCAAAAAACTGTCCTTTTTACCGGATTAGAGAGTTTTTTCAGAATAGTGATATTCAAGTTGAACTAACTGCTTTTCTGGGGAATTTGAGGGCTTTGCATGTTCTGAGATCAACGTACACATGAAGAACAAGTCTTGGGTGAAACTCGGAAAATACTAAACACATTTACTTTAATAACTTATATAGTCGAGCAAAATTTACTATCTTCAGACAACCGCCTGAAGATGGAAAGTTTGAAAAAAAAAACTGAGGCTCGTAATAGAACTATTCACATGATTGGTGTAAGATATGTGTAAGACTGTTTACGGGAGCCGAGAAGCCTAGCTCTTATTGTATGCGAATAATTATGTATTTCGAATTATGAAGCGCTTTATGACATCTCTCAGTCTTACAGCCAATGTGTCTCACCTAATCTCTCACATTACGTCATCTCTTATTCGAAAAAAAATGTGATGTATTAGATTTTAAGCTCCGCCCATACCACTGCCTGAAACGAATGCGGCTATTGTGACCCATGTCTCATTAGACAGCAGGTATACATGTCCTTGACTAGTGCATACAACAGCTGTTCGTCATGTTTAGTGTGCTGTCTCTCAAACGATCTGTAAAATGGGAAACATTGATTTTCCCAACTCGTATATAACAATTTTCTCATTTACTCATCAAAATGTCTCGTAATGTTGATCCATTGACCAATCTTCAAGAGTTGATTGCTTTTTTCCAATTGTAGACCTTCCCTGGAGAGTAGGGAAAAATTACGAGGTCGGTTCATGGCTCTGATAAGAATAGGGTTCTCTCTAAAAAATACTTGTTTCTTTCCAGAACAGTCAGCTTCTTCTACAGAGTCTTCATCACCTGATTGCGTGATTGTTTTTTACTTTTCTCGTTCTCTTGTTTTCTTCTTTAACTTCTTCATGTTCTCAACTAGTGTATTATAGATGACGTTCGTTTTCCGAAAAATATTTTTCTTCAAAGCTTTGTGTTTGGTTGTGGCGCTTATAGTGTCATGGTGTGAATTGCTCGTATACATGCATCATGCCAGGTACTGTGGGGAGGTATGGAGACGGATACAGAGGTATTTTTTGAAATTTTTTTTTTATCTGTGATCATTAAGAAACTCTCCGGATGAGTTGAACGCTATCATGATATCTGACACTCATATACTTGGCAATTTCAAAGGCCATTGGTTTGATAAACTACGGAGGTTGAAACTCAATAGTTAATTTTCATCTCAAAAGCTTTGCAGGGAATGGCAGATGTCGAAGTCTTTCGAGATGTCTCTAAGATATATGCAACCAGATGTTGTATTTTTTTTAGGTACACATACGGATATTTTTTCTCTTATAGTCTTTTTAGGTGATCTTATGGACGAAGGAAAATGGACGAACGAAAACCTCTTCAATGAATATGCCGATAGGTTTTTTACTCTATTCAACAATAAGTCTAGCGGAGTGCCAATGTACTTCGTTCCCGGAAATCATGATCTTGGATTCCATTACGAGTCAGATATATTCACAAAAATAAAACTAATTCAAATTTCAGAATGCATCCCGAACGAATAAAATGGTTTAAAAAGCGTTTTAACGTGGACCCTGTTGAGTTGCATGTTATTAAAGGTTTTCATTCCGTTTCCCTCACTCATTCACATTGTTTTTTGAGAACACACATTTGTGTTGATCAATTCAATGGCCTTACATGGAGATAATTGTACTCTATGCTCTGAGGGTACTCATTTAATAGAAAAATATTCGAAAGTACTGAGCTGTGCGGCCAGCAATAAATGTTTTGATAAAGAAGCTGCTCCCTTCAAGCCATACAACCGGCCCATTCTACTACAGCATTTCCCTTTATTCAGGTTTTTACTTCTTTTATATTTTCTGAATCATCAATTCAGGTTGGATGAAAACATTTGTCTAAGAGATGAAGATTTCGATGAGATGGCTCCCGATCGAGATGAAGTTTATCGTGAAAAATGGGAATGTCTTTCTCAAGATTCTTCTAAGTACGAATTGAACTAAATTTTTATAAACGAAGTTCATTTCACAGTTACTTACTTGCAAAGTTTACACCCAGGGCTGTTTTTAATGGTCATGCCCACCGTGGTTGCAAAAGAGAGTGAGTCACACGTCTGAACAATTTTATGCCAACTGAATTTATCATAATTTCTCCAGATGGTCAACCCCAGTTAGTTTTGTTGAATACACTATGAACTCATTCAATTGGAGGAATAATGATGTCCCAACTGTGCTTATGGTCACCATAAACCGAGAAGAGGTTCTTTTTTTTTAAAATTTTGCGACACGCAGTGTTTGCTACCTAGAAGTTGTATTCAACTTTTCATCTGATTTCTGTCATGTTTAACAGTTTGTGTTTCCAGGTGAAAACAAAAGTGTGCTATCTGCCTTCAGAGAAAAACATCATAGCTTGCTATATCTTCCTTGCTGGTTGCGTTTTGCTTTATTTTCAATATTTACTAATTTCCAGAGTGCGACTGTTAATTTCTCGCAGAAAGCCTTTTCTCCCGATTACTAACAAAATAGACTGAGAAGGTCTTTAAAGACGGAAGCCGTCATTCGTTTGACATAATTGTTTTTTCTGATCTCAATATAATAATAACAGTGAATAAGAAGAGTCAACAATAATCAATAAAAAATAAGAAATAAGTTTTTCCTTCAATGTTTGGTGAAACAAGGAGTGGAGTGAGAGATAGGAGTTTAAACAACAAAAAAATAAAAAAAAGCGACTACATGCTCATGCTGCTCATAATACCCAGAATTAGGTAGTGGAATTGGAACGGGTCGAGTTGGAGCTAGACCGATTAGACCCATTACTTGGTTAGCTAATCTTTCTACATGGTCCACTCTTTCAAAGCATCCTAGAGTTTGTTTGGTTCATCTAGCATAAATAAGAGGAAATTAATCAATCTTGATTGAATGTGAAGTCATGCAAATAAATGCATTTTTTTGACAACAAGAAATCGATGGATCCACCTTCTTTCAAGTCTTTCACGATTTTAGTCACTTGTATGAAGCTATCATGGAATAGATCTGAATAAGCTGAAAAAGTGTTGTTTACAAAAATTGTTTTGTTTAAAGCATTTCCTTCTAGGTAACTTCATACTTTCTGTAGTCTTCTAGAACCGACTACTGCAGTTTTTTCTTAAGGTAGCAACACAATCTATCGAATATTTGAAAGAGTTGGTTACTTCGGTAACCTCAACATCTCTATTTTGGATACAGAACTTCTCCATGGACCTGATAGGTTCTTAACGCATGAAACAAGATTTGTAGTTTTGTTCATTAATAACTTTTAGACTCTTATAAATATCATGTATTACCCTTTGACTTGTTTTCTTCCAGAATAAAAAGGTTTTACAGAGTAATGAAAGTTGAACTAACTGCTTTTCTGGTGAAGTTGAGGGCTTTGCATGTTCTGAGATCAACGTACACATGAAGAACAAGTCTTGGGTGAAACTCGGAAAATACTAAACACATTTACTTTACAAACTTATAGAGTCGAGCAAAATTTACTATCTTCAGACAACCGCCTGAAGATGAAAAGTTTGAAAAAAAAACTGAGGCTCGTAATAGAACTATTCACATGATTGGATGCATTCCTTTCTCACATTGTCAAAATATAGAAAAAAGTTGATTTTATATTCTATTCTAAAAAAAATTATTTTCTGTACTTATGTGTAAGACTGTTGACGAGAAGCGTAGCTCTTATTGTATACGAATGAAGATGTACTCCGAGTTATGAAGCGCTCTATGGCATCACTCAGTCTCACAGCCAATGTATCTCACCTAATCTCTCACATTACATTCTCTGTTGCATGTGATGAACGAGAATATAGGCCCCGCCCATCATCATGGTTCTAAAACGAACGCGGCTACAGTAACCCGCGTCCCGTCCTTTAACAAAAGGTGGACGCGTCCTTGACTAGTGCATACAACAGCTGTTCGTCATGTTTAATGTGCTGTCTCTCAAATGATCTGTAAAATAGGAAACATTGATTTTCTTACGTCATATCCCAATGTTCCTTGGTTCCTTGTCTGTAGATCTTTATTCCATTGCCGATTGTCATTAAAATTTTAATTTTAAAACAAATTCTTACTTTTACTCATTAAGATGACTGGTAATGTTGATTCATTAACCCATCTGAACAAGTTGATTGAGTCTGATCATACTAGAGATTTTTTTAAAGTTTTTGGTGATGATCCAGTTTGGAAACTAGTTGAGAAAAATGAAAATGGGTTTGTTACATCTCAGATATCATCTTCTGTTGACTTGCATATTTGTAGACGTGCTGTTAAAATTTTTAATCAACTCAGCGGACATATCTGGAAATCAAATACGAACAACCAGGATAACATTATCCGAGTAGCTGCTATGCTTTTCATAAGTCGAGACGAGTAAGATAATCTTGGTAAAATATAGTTTATGAATCCTGATCTACAGTAATCCACTGACGCAAGCACAGAAAACGACATCGAATTTGCTAAAACTATTCAAAGGAATGGAATCGGTTGGGCTATTTTCTTGTAAGTATATGCTGGAATTATTTTCAGGATACTCAGGATAACGTAGAGGAAATTCTGTTCAGTATGACTCAATTCATGCCACCTCATGTTTTTGATTTTATGTGGCATGTAAGGGAATGATTTTATTGAATTATATTATCATCTCTATTCATAGGAATTCATATCCGCTCGTGAGAATAGGAAATTAGCTTTAATATCGATGATGGCTACATTGGCTATGTATGAGAAACTGAATGTTACCCTATATTTGATTCTTTAAATACAGAAGTGCAAGACAACACATCCAACCTCTCGTTTGTCACTTCCAAAAAGTGCTCGCTGATCCAAGAGTTAGTATTGATGTGAAAGTAGAAACTGTTAGAGCTATCGCTAATCTGGGAACTCAGGTTAGAAAAACTTGTCTTCAAAGGATCTTCAAACCAATTACAGAGAAATAACATTGTTGGAGATGTTGTGCGTTTACCAATTGAAAACCCACTCTTCTTCACTCTTGAAAGATTACTCATTACTGGTACGTTATTTGCTATTCATTTGAATCTATTTCTCATTCATAGAGTATATGAATCCTGAGAAAACTACTTATTTCTTTCAACTAGCACGAAATGTTTTGCTTATATTCTTTAATTTGTCTAACGATACATCGACTTTAGTAGCTAATTTGATTAGAAAAGTAAGTTCTGTTAACTGAAATGTTATATCATATAGTTCTATTTAGATTTTGAGATTAACAAAAGATGATTGTGAGCAGAGTTTAACATTTGGAAGATCTCTCCGTGGAAAGCGGAGAAGAGAAATTCGAATTAAGAATAGGAGGTAACGGAGAACATTGTTTTTTTAATTACTTCCAACATTTTCAGTTTCTATTATAACAATCTAAATGTTGTGCATGCCGAACGCATCTTAGGTATAATTGGTGAGATTGCTCTTCGTCTCGATGTTTTCACGGAAATGTGCAAACCAAATATAAAAAGGCGTTTTCCTATGTTCACTTCGCAATACCTATCGGTGGGTTTGAACCAGAAATGCTTTTTTCATTATGAATTTGTTTAGAAAGAATTGAATAGCCCTGGTAACGCCAAAGTGAACATCACTGAACTGGAATATCGTTACGTCAGACGTATTGGTGAACTTCCATTGATGGTTGCTAGAGACTCAGGTATTTCTTTGAGTTGATATGAGTTATACTGGATTTCTTGTTTAAGAAGAGCTTGATAATATGAGATTTTTTGAATACAAAAGAAGACTTGAGCATAGAGAGAAAATTGAATTTGAAATAATCGTGCCTCATTTCTTGCCTTTCGTGAAGGGCATAATGCAAACTGATAACATTACAACTGTTAAAGTTGCTTCGTATATTGCTATTTCGAAGCTTATGCTACTTGGGTAAAGTCGTAACTGTTTGAAATCCATCATATTGTTTTTCCAGTCGCGAATTGGCTTATGATCTAGCTCCTCTTTACTTTTCCATTCTACAATCGGAGCATCAGACATCTAGGAAGAATTTCCTGATCTCAATTGCTGATGTATGTTTCCGTGTTCCTGAGATCGTTAGAAGTCATGCATCAGAAATTTATGCAATGTAAGCTCATGAAACGGAAAGAAATCACCAACTTCCTATTCAGGGTTCTTGACAAGGACATGAGTACTAAAGTTACCTGCATTGTCGTTGTTTCACATTTGGTTAGATTCAGTCGTTTAGATGTTACTGAAGAAGCCACCGAATTCGCGAAGTAAGACACATTGATAGCAAGATGTTTACTTATTGTTTACAGGTGTCTTCTTCATGAAAATGAACTCATCAGAAGTATAACAGGTTCATTTTTTGCCAATATTGAGGTATAACTTCTTGTTGAGCTTAGGTACTCATTCATATTTACAGAAATTGTGTATGGAACCTTTAGTTCCAATGATATTAGGTAGACTTGCTATGAAACATTTCAATATGGAAAAATATAGACAACTCTTAGCGTAGGATTATCATGTTTTAATGTTCTCATTTTGGTTTGCAGTGTTCTTTTCAATTATGTATCTAAAGGAAAATCCAGCGAGATTCTCAAACATATGTTTGACGAGTTTGAACTTCTCAAAGGAATCGCGAAAACTGTTAAGAATGAGAAAGTTCCCGAGTATCTTTCTCTTTGCATTTCGCAACTTTACCTTTCCAAGAATGCTATGCGAGAGGTAATGGAATTGATGTGTTTATCCTAAATTAAAATTTTTCCAGCTTCGCGCTAAAATTCATACCTATCGTCCTTTCTTGAAGAGCAAACGTTTCTTATATCATATTATCTTAGCTCTTCAGCGTTTAATAAAAACGACTCATAAAACTGAATTAGCGGTAAGGCACGTTTCAAAATGAAGTTTCATTATTTTAAATTACAGGACGAAGCTAAAGCTCTTCAAAGAGATCTTCGAGCAATTCATAAACAAATCGTTAATAATACTGACAATTCCGATTCATATGATGAATCATTTATAATCGAGTTTAACTTGAAAATGAACACAATATGCTTAGAAGCAGATAGTAATGATAACACAGACATCTCTCGTCCTACTCCTCTTCCTGCTTGCCAGTAAGTATATTTATAATTTGACAAATTTATTTATATCTTTGTTGCCGTTGAATTAACTGATCTCGTATCAAGTTTTAAAATATGGTTTTTGAAACCTCATTCCTTTCATAAGAAGCTTTCTATTCTTGTGCTATCCATTGACATATACATATATATTAATAATCCTTCATAATTGGTGTTTGTCTTTCAAACATTCCTCAACGCTTGCTTGTTCATATTCATAATTTTTAATAATAACTTAATATGTAATATATCACATTTGTAATTTATAAAGTTTTTTTTTTAAAACTATTTATCTCGTCTCAATTACATGATGTGTTTTCTCATCAAGAAGGTTATCTCGGATCCTATCTCCCCATATGAATCAAAGAAGATGAATGATATTCCTTTCTTCTGTCGGAAGTCATTTCCTTCTTTATATTTTATTTCAGTTTGCACTTCACTCAGTGTATATAATGATGAACTTGCAGTAACCCTGCTATGATTTATTTAGAAAACTTTTTTTTGAACTAAAAGTGTTTCAGCCTTATCTCCGTAAATTCGTAGAGCGATATATCACGGTGAAAACCGAAACAGACGATTCAGTCAATTCAGATGTATCATGATTCAACACATTCTTATTTACCCGATTCGGAACATAGTATGGTAAGGTCTTAATTATAACCTATCAATTGAAAAGTTATATTTCTGAAAATCCCAGATTTGTTTGATTGACAGCAATTTGTCAATATTAGCAAACTTATTTGTACGAAAAGCTGTGTGTGATTGAAATTTCAAAAAATGAAACCGCAATATATCATTTAATGTAGATTACTACAAACGACGTACCTGTTGTGAGATAAACATGAAGTGTGTAACGTTGATGAGTTGTTCACAGCCAATCAATAGTAGGATTGAAGTAGCTGCTGATCTGTATGATATTGATTATTAATCTTTATTATACTTTCTACATATAAGCTTTGCATGATCACGAACTTTTCTATTATCATAATAAATAATGCTAAATATAATATGCAAACAGGTACATATGAACAGCTTCATGGAGAAGACAAAAAAAAGTTTTAAGCAGTAGCAGTTTGTAATGGATGACACTGCATAAACACAAAACTGATAGAAATGCATGTAATTAAGCTCTTCTCTGTTCTTCTAACACAGTCACATTTGATTCCGTCATTCGATTAAATGATTGCTCCGATTTAAGCATATAGGTGGCACTTGATGTTTGATTCAGACATTTAGCAGCCTGGAAATGGATATGATATACTTCACGCTCATAACTCTATAACATCGACAATGACAACAAGTTTTTCAACCACAACATGCCAATACTGGAAGCTTATAACTACCTATTGAACTATCATTATAACTAACAACACAAGTTGATTGGTGGGGGTATTTTTAAAAGTTATTAATTTGAGATGCCAGTTGGATTAACAGAAGTCAGAGCTTCCATCTTTCCTAAAGCTTTCTGAAATAGTCTATTGTTGCTGTTAATGTAAAACATTATCACAATTATATATTAATTAATAGTGTTTTGATGATTATGCCAACCAATAACTTGCCTAATTCTGTTAATTTTTTTTTTCAAATCAAACTCACAGCCGGAATGTCAGCTTCAATCTTCCATATTTTGAAATAGCGCAGGAAAAACACACCAAATGTTGGCAGTAATGCAAACATAATGAGTGTCACAGCCAGAAACATTGCCCACACAGGATATTCAGTTTCAACATTTTTTCCCTTTAATTTAATTGTTTTGTTAACATCGACTTTCAAATTCAATCTACTCACAGCAACTGAATCGTACGCAAAATAGACTAATGGCTTGTTGAAGCATTGTGCTATTGATGCTGAGAACAATGTGAACATCAATGATGGTGAGACGAATCGCCACATGATAAGCCAATAGATTCCAGGTCTTATACCAGTCATGTATTCCAGATCACATACAAACCTTCATTTATAATATGCTTTGTTTCAGATTTCATATTGTCATCAACCTCATGTAGCCATATACATATACAACTGACATCAGTTCAGAGAATGCAACACACATAAGAGCGTATGAACCAGCGAATGAATCGAAAAGAGATACCCAATACTTAATTGAATTTATGAATTTTGTATGAAAAAAACTGATTAACTTGACCAGATCTTGTAGTGAATAACAAACCAACAGTTAAAGCTGATGCACAGAGCCAGAAGGTTAATACGGGCTTGGAAACTTTCACCATTTTACTATCGTTCAAGGATGTTATAACTCCTTCTAATGTACCTTTAAACAAAGATTATTCTTTATTTCCTATTTATTCACTCACCAAACATGGATCCCAATCCGAGAGAAAGTAACATCAAGAAAAACAGTACCGACCAGATGGGGGGAAATGGGAAATGAAGCATGGCTTCAGTGAAAACAACAAATGCCAATCCCGTACCTTCAGCAGCCTTCAATAGGTATTTAAACTATGTTTTTGATTGTTTCTGCGCACTTCAGAGATTATTCGATCATAATTACACGTTGTTGCTAATTCAGTGACACTTGTACGTAAGGCTCCTTGATAGTTATCAACATTCGAAATCATGACGATAGCTTCAGTCACATTGTAAGTCTTCATTATCGGAGATGAAAAGAGGAATCTTGAAAAACATTTTTGAAAATTACTAAGTTTATCTTACTCTGTCACGCATTTGTTCATATTATTATGTGCCATGTAACCAAGGACACTAAACACAACGGCGGCGGTGTAAACAGAAGTTGCTCCATTGACAATTCCTAACTGAACAACATCTTTGATAACGTTATTCTTGACAGGATTGTAGCTTCCAAAAGCAATCAGACCTTGAATGATTAGATTCAAACGGTTAAATAACGTAGTCTATTATCGTATACCTCCAAAACCGAGACCCATGGAGTAAAATATCTGTGTTGCAGCCTCTAACCATACTGTAGGATTGTATAGCTTCGTCAACTGAATTGAAAATTATATTGTGTTCACTTAAAGAATTTCACATCCGGTTTGAACATATGAAGTAATCCTTCGACTGATCCTTCAAGACTAATGCTTCGCACAAAGAATAGTGTTGTGACCAGATAGGGGAACGTAGCTGTTACATACATTACCTTAATAGCTTTCATAGAACTGTTCATGTGATTATTGAATTACATATCCACTTGTTTTTATTCCTTTCATAACACACAAATAAACAACTCCCCAAGCGAGAAATAAACAGCAGACCATAGGAATGTTTATTCCTCCAATTTCGCTGATTGATCTTCAATATTGCCAGCTATCTTTGTTTTTCATTCAAAAGTATCTTACCCTGTAGTATCTAAGGCAACACGGCTCCAAAAATACATTGTTGGAGATGTGGCATTCATACATTCTGCATCATAAGTGCTATCATTCACTTTTGGACATTCCTTAGTTACACTTTAATTTTTTTTTCTTTGCTCTTACTCACCGCCCACGGCAATTTCTTGGCAAAGGATGAACCTAGATAGTATAAGCACCATGTGATGATTACATTATAATACAAAGCAACCAAGTAGGATACGACAGCTGCAGAAACACCAATACCTGAACCATACCAGTTATGTTTCCGTTCTAATGAAAATCGAGATTGACCTCCAAGATAAGGATGAATAGCATTCCATACACCGACAGGTCCTGTACGTAATCGCTGACCGATACCCAGCTCAATGAGGAACAGCGGGAGTCCCAATAAGCCCATCATTATGACATATGGAATCATGAAAGCGCCTACAAGCAGCATTTAATTATAGTTAGGCCTTTTGTTTATTGTGACCTCCTCCATTTTTTTGACATAAATAAGGAAATCTCCAGACATTTCCCAGGCCAACGGCATAAGAGATTATCGCCATATAGTATTGCGACTTAGATCTCCATTGCTCTCGTTTTTTTTCTGGTTCACCCAATTGAATGGTAAGCTCCACACTCTTCAATATGGAAAATGAGTCTCTTAGAACAGCTTATTTCCAAAAGTATCCTCTCTAACGGCATGTGATTGTTTTTTTTTAATGATTAAGTATCATGAATATATTTTTTTCATTTGGTAGATTTGAGAGATGGCTGTCAGGAAGAGATGGATATATAAATGGTTGTTTGGACATAGTCATTCAAATGATTCATGATAAAAAAACATATGTTTTGTGTAACTCACTTCATTTTCAATATCTCCATGGGAGTCCTTTCTCTGAGAGAATGTCACACGCGAGCCTGACATCTCGTTATCGTTTCCAGATTGGTGGGCTCCCGAACGACACACTCCAGGAACATTTAAAAAGTCACTCTTAAACATTTTTCACCACGTTCAAAACATAAACAGAGATACGTACGGATTTACGACGTTGAACACTACTTCGAGAATCAATTTGTTCGTTGAGAGCAACTTCTTCCTGTAAACTTGGACGTTTACCTCGTTTAACAACAGCAGCATTTTTAACAGGGGAAAAGTTCATTGTTACCCTAAAATGAAAGGTAGAAGTATTGCAGATCTAAAGTTTCAAAGGAAGCATGAAAGAGCGAAAGTCGAATTGTGTTACTCAAAGTTCACATTCTTGATGATGATGGATTAGCTTGAACGTTTAGAGAGAAAAAAGCGGTGACCACGAGAACATGAAAAAAAGATTTCCTATGAATGCGTGGTGGATGTTAAGCAAGACAATATTCGAATTGAATTTCTGCCAGAGAGATGTTGAGTCGAAAATCATATGTTGCTGAGAAAAAAAAGATAAAAGCCATGTACTTCGTGTCAAAATGATGACAGCAATTTGAATAATGCTTGAGTGGTTGGTGGATTAAAGAAAAGAGGTTCCAAATCTTGGAAATCGAATTGAATACGAATAGGGTTTGAAGAGGGATAAAACTGCCTCATGAGTTCTCAAAGCAATTCATAGCCCTCCATGATCATGAACGAAATGTCTTATATTTTTTCACTCAAATTAGATGTGCCTGTGAGAAGCACTCTGTTTTAAAAGCATTCAAAGCAAGATAGTCAAATTATTTGTCGAGCTTTTAAGTCTTGAGTGACAAAAGATGCGTAGAGAAATGCCTTTTAACGAGCATTAAGTAATAGTCAGAGAAGTTTTTATATATTTCTCATGCAGATGCCTGCGTAATACACAAATAAGTTGGAGAAGGAAATAACTTTGTTTGAAGGACTTCATTGAAATTGGTCTTTTTTGGATGAAGGAGAGAAGCGTAAGGGTAGAGGGGGGGATCTCTCTGTCATTTGTTGTGCTGTTGTTCTTATACGGAACAGATGAAGTTTATAAATAAATCTTAAATGAAAGCGTCAATATGACATGATAAAAACAACTTGATGAAAGTGGAAACACAATATTCCTTATATGATAGGAATGGCTTCATTCGTGGAGATTGGTTTAACAGTGTATGCAGCATTATTATTGTTTAAGGGCAGATATGGAATGTTATAAGATATGTAAGATGCGATTTTGGAGAAGTACTTTGTCGGCGGCACCTTCTATCTCATTCTTTGCATGTGGGTAGTTGAGATGAATTTAATTTTTTTTCAAGATTGCTTGCTTCACTATGAAATAATAAAAGTTTTTCGATGAAGATGCAATAACGGCACCACAAAGCACTTTTCGTTGCCATATGATGGCGAAAACTCTATCGAAAAGAGAAAAAGCAAAAAAAACATTTGGTTGTCGTGAAGTTTTAAATTTTCATTGTGAGTGATGAATGAAGAAAAGTGAAATAAAATCATTTAGAGCAGTCATGGGATGAACCATAATTGAAATGCGATGAGCACATAAAAAAGGTTTTTTTTCTTTTTTATTTTCTTTTTTTTCTAATATTTGAGCTGAAATGAGGCAAGTAAGTGCTATCACTTAAATGAGCATTTTACAATTAAAGAAGACAATTAGAAATATAAAAAAACAAAGAGGAAAAAGTATTCAATGAGAAAAGAAAGCAATAAACTATAAATTTCCGACAAAGAGCAAATGATAGGAAATAAAAGAAAATGAAGAATGACTGAAGATGCTTAAACAGCGTATTGGATGTGGAAATGAAAATGAAGGGAACAATCTTTTTTTTTGGATAAGGGAAATATCTCCATGGAGATGCACATGCAATGCAATTTAAAGATCATTGCAGGTATATAACAGATGGGAAGAGATGATCTTGAAAGAGCATTTCAATGCAGTGGACAACATGCTAGAGTTCAACAGACAAACAGCTGGTAAATGAGAGAAAGAGAGATTCTAACAAACATGATATGTATACGCTGAACAGAAGTAATCAACACATGGGTGTGGGTTGAGGTATTTTCAAAATTCTCTTTCAATTTTTTTTTCTTTCTTTCAAAGTTAAAAAAAATATAATTCTTCTAACAATCGTATAAAATATGACAACATAAGTTATCGATTATAGTTAACTACTAGTGCTGTTCAGATAGACAGATAGAGAGAGAAGGAATGATAGAGAGGGAAGGAGGTGAATGTTGAGTGAGTGGGAGAGAATAATGTTATGTTTGAAGAAAAAAAAAGAAGAAGAAGGAGTAGAAGTGGAAGAAGTAGAAGAAGAAGAAGAAAATTCATAAAAATGTTCGAGTATCTATTAACATGGATGCCTCTCAATATCCATTTTATTCAGACTCCTACATGTCAACGTTTAAGAGTTGGGGGGAACTTCTAATTATGTAGAAATAGAAGGAGAGCAAAGGAGACTAAGACGATTCAGACGAATTTTGAATAAAAGGAGGAAAAGGATAGAAAGCTGAAAGAGATCTTTCAAATCGTCATCCAATAAATTTTTCTAGAAAAAGCTTTCAAGTCAGGTCTATTATATTTTCTATTATGCACTCTCCATGTTTTATTCTACACGACTTTGGATTTAAAAATTAAGTTTGAGAGACACAGTGCTTCATCTAAAACATTCTCCTAAATCCTATTTCTTCCCAACGAACATTATAGTAAATTCTGGAAAAAGAAAAAAGCGCTAATTGAAAATATGTATCCTGAGGCTATGAGGCAAAAAAGAAAAAACAAGTTTGAAAGAGAAAAAAAAAGTTTGTTCGTCTCTCTACCTCCCTCTCTCTCTATCTCTTGCCCACTCTCTCTCTCTCACTCTCTCTCTCTCTTTTCGTTTTTTTTTCTTTTTCTTTATCTCAAAGTATTATTGTGATGAGAACAAGAAGAAATGAAAAAGAAAAAAACTTTTTTTCCTGCTTCCCTCGTGTGTTAAAAGAGAACTGCAGAACTCTAGAACGTGGGTTTAAGTTGATGCCTTGAGGCTCTTCGGGTATATTTCCGATTGTTCAAAGAAACATTTGAGTTTGAAAACATTTCAAATGAATAATTGACCGAAGATTCTCTTTCACAAAGAATATAAAACTTATCTGAAAGTTGGAGAGACGAAGGAAAATTGTTGAATATTTAATTGGGAGAATATATATTTATATTCCTCTTTTTCTAATAACTATAAACGTGTTTTAAGATCTCACTATTTGGGAGATAAAGAGAGAGAGAAGAACACTAGAGAGAGAGAGAGAGATTTAGAGGTAGAAAGAAAAAATAGCAAGAGAGTACCACAAATTCAATAGAAATACAAAGAGGAGAAGAAAAAAAAATTTCTTTTTACTCATTTTCACATATCAAATCGCTTTATTATGAAATGAACGTATTTCTGTGTTTTTTTACTGCTTGGATTATTGTTTGTTATTGGAATTTGAGATTGCGCTTCAAGTTATGGCTTCACTACAATTTCTTTTTTTTCAAACGAAAATTATTTTTCCTCTATTTCTCTTCTTCTCTCTCTCACCTTATTTTAGTTTATAGAGAGAGAGATGATGGGACGAGAGCAGGGAGAAAAAAGAAAGAGAGAGAGAAACCTCGAATTATTTTTTTTCGAAAATTTTCTCTTTGGAGCAGACAACAAAGAAAAATCTTTTTTTTGTTGCTTCTTCTCTCCTCCATTCTCTCAGTTGGTTGTTGAATTAACCAATTAAGCGCCATATTTCTTATGTTAATCTTTAGCTTTTCCTCTGACTTGTTCTCATATGATGAAGATGAAGATGAAATTGATTTCATTCTATTTCATAATAAGATGAGAATAATGATTGTTTCCCTGTTTTGCCTTAAGACTGCAAATTACTTTTTTTTGTTATTTATGTGATTGAACAACATCTATCATACTACCTGCCACCTATCTGTCTATACAACTCATTTGCCTATCTATCTAACTATCTATGGAAAATGAAATGTTTATTATGTATAATGTGCATAGCATATAAAATTATATATTTGTTCAAATGAAATATGAGATGTGTATGTTCACGTATTTTTAGAAGAAGAAGAAGGAATAATGGAAAAAAGGAGAGAGAATTCCTTCTTTTTCTTTTATTTAAAAAAAAAAGAAAACACGATTGTTAATGAGATCTAAACAACTTCCGTTCGATCAGTCACCAAATTGTCTTTACGGGAAGCATTGTGTGAGCAAACAGCTTTACCACGTATTGTAACCTGAATAAGTAATTCAATTGATGAACAAATATTTTTTTGCTATCGTCTCCCTACCTCTAAAAATGCTACTAGTTCAACACAGCAGTACATGATGATTGTTGGCCAGGACATAATGAGATGGAATATATTACGGAGAATTCCAGTCTTATCTCTTCTCTTCTGAGGAAATACCTAAAATATGAGTGTAAGTTAAGAATCTGACATATGCACTATCATTACCGGCTGACAAAGATAGTTGATGGCGAATACAAACATGAAAAAGACATATTGAAGTCCTAAGAAACCGAGCATAATCCATGTAAATGTTTTTTGGTTTGGAATAACCAGTCCTTTGATCTCATGGTCAACCGCTGAGAGAATAATCGGGGTCTGCAAATGATCTATAGAATCATCTGGCATTTTGTGAACTTACAAAGATTGGAGCAATCAAAGTATATACAGATGATATACACAACAAGAATCCATAATAGAAAACGAATTTTGCTGCAAAAACGATTGATACGTTGGCAGGCAAATTGAAGAACTTGATTGCGAAGTAATGGAAAACCTATAATGCAATGTTAGTTTAGAAGTTATGATAGATAGATATACTTCAGCAGCTCCAATTGTCCACCTTCTGACTTGTCTAGCCCATTCGTACCATTCATTAATGTAACCATCACCTATAGATGGTATTATAAAGTAAATAGTTGACTATGAGATACATACCACTAGTTGGTCCACTCAAAGTTGCTACAGGAATGGCACGAATAACACATTTGCGTCTAACAGCAAGAGACCATCTGATGAGAGCAATGATGTCATCCATCTGAAAAACATGAGTCACTAACTCAACATGTTATGCTAACTAACTTGATAGCCAGGATGAGTATACTCGCCCTTTTCCAATAGTTCCAGAGTTAAAGAGAAAATACTCATTGTGTTGATATTCCATGGAATGAGATATCCGATCATGAAGAAGGCTCTGCAAAAAAAAACAAAAAATTATTTTGTCTGTCCATTAATAATGTTTAAACCTCATTAATCCTGTAACACGAACAAAGAACGGTGACTGATCCAGATTCATGCAGTAGAATAGAGGAGATTGCCAGACAGTATATTCTCTTTGCTGCAAATGAGAGATTATTCCAATGATTTTTAAATAATATATTTTTTACACACCTTTTCATCTATTTTCCAGTAATCCTCTTCAAGGGCATCAAAATAGCGTTCACCGAAAACAGAATCACAATCCCCTGTTGTTACAATGAGTTCAACATTATCTTTTCCATTGCCTAATGGATAGTTCTGAAGAGATGAATAACCAATGAGAGTTATCTGTTGAATATTCGAATGCTCACTTTATCTGTTCTTAGCTTCTGCACAGCAGTACGAGAGCAATAGTTGAAATTGGAGCATTTACCAGGTATATCTCCGGCAAGACCTCGTGGATGGAATGTTACTATGATTCTTTCAAAGAAAGGATTATACTTGTCTTCAATTTTCGCTTTGCTCTTTAAACATATAGATGTTTGTAAAAACATTTAAAGGATTAGTAAACCTCTTCTTTGTTTGGAGTTCCGTCTTCCATGCCGATGACCAATGTTAGTTTTGTTTTAGCGTTTGGTTGAGATGCCAAACTGTCTATTGTTTCCATAAGTAAGTCGAGAGGCTCTTTGTAAACACACAGACCAACCATGTGTTTAACAATTATCTTTTTCGGGTTTGAAATCTGTATAAGCGCAATCATACGGTAAATACTATGCTCAACAATCAAACCTTTGTTAAGTCTATTTGATGAGAGGCAAATCGTCGTAATCGCCAAGTGTATCTGAGAGCATTGAAAATCGCTACAATCCATAAAACATTAAAAATAATTGATACAATAACAACTATTTCTAAGGCAAAATCCTATAATAATCAGATTGTATGAAGCTTAAACAGAAATGTAAAAGGAGACACAGAGAGGGACAGACAGATAGAGAGAAAGAGGGATAGAGAGAGATACTCACGTTAACAGCTGGAATGCATGGAATCCAAAATGCTGATGATATAAAAAATATAATAAGTACGGTGAATAATAGATTCCACCGTAATCGTGCGTTGGCTGGTTTAGCTATTCGTCCGGTATAGAAGCTATAATGGGTTACGGTATAATGAATTGAATAAGTAAACTCATTTACTTCTTAATACTTCCAGTAATTCGTCGATTGAATTTTCCAGCAGTAAATTTTCGGAATATAGAGCCATTTTCTTTGGCATGATTAAAGCGTCCTTGTACTTTAGCATTTTCAGATCGTGTTTGAGGAACTGAATTCCTTTTCTGAATTAAAATTATTTAATAAAGTTAATGAGTAAAAGTAAAACAAACCGCTGTTAGATGATCATCTGGAAGATCCAAGCGTATTTGATCTTTACCATTAGCCATTTGTTTCAATTGAATAGAAAAATCTTAGAGATTATATTTATTGAAAATGTTTAAAATGAATTGCGATTTTGCCAATTTCAACCTATTTATTCAAATATGCTGGTAGGCGTTAACAGGAGGTGTTGCTGATCTCAGTGAATAACTTGTTGACTTTTATCGTTAGTGTATGTGGGTGTAAACCGACGTAACACCCAGGTTGACACATTATGCCATTGTACCGAGTTCGAAAAGATCAAAAGTTAAATAAGATTAAAGAAAATGCGGCCGAAAAAAAAAAGATGGTTGTTTGCCATTAGCAGTTATTGCAAATCATACGGTATATAGTATAGTTTACTATTAAAGGTAGAAAAGATGGTTTCTATATGAACTTTTTCAATTTGCAGACGAAATAGAAGAAGGAGGAAAAAAAAAGTTCAAAATAGCAGCATATAAGGTTATTGCCAGATGGGTACACGTTATTGACAGATATGTTTGTACAGTATACCATATAAAACCATTCTTGAATTTCTTTTCCTGAAAATATCTATTATTTTATTGATATAGACAAACATAACCATCTTGTGTATCTATTTTTTCATCTTTCAATCAAATATCGCCTACACCAATCTTTTGTAATTGTCAACATATTGGTTTTATTTCATCTCAAACCTACGTGCATACGGCACATTTTGAACGAAACAAACTTCTTTTTTACCGTTTTTAATCTTAAACGACACCCCGCATCTGTGTGACAGTAATGATTTCGGAAGTTAATAAGATGATATTTGCTGTCCAGCTTATTTCGTTTTCGTTCTTTGTTCTTCATACTGACTCATTATGATATTTGCTCCATTCAAATATGCAATTCACGTTTTTACCAAATACTGTTTATTAAGCAGAGAATCAAATACAACATGATTAGTTTATTCTTCAAATATCTGATTATAATTAGTTGATGAATATTATTCTTCTCATATCCTTAATCCCTTATCCTTGAATGAACTTGATGAATTCCATAAATGTAATTCTTCCATCATGCTCCAAGAACAGCTCATGTGGCGGCTTAGTGTCACGACAATCGTTCACTTTACGAAGCAATTCAATCATTTCATCTGTAATTGATTCTCATTCTTTTCAACTATATAGTTCTCTTATCGATTTCAATGCAAATTTTCTATTTTTGGGAGAAGAAAGAGAAGAAAAAGGAAAAGAAAACACATTTTTGTACTTTGACAAACAACACCAAAATTTAATAAAATCGTCTCTAATATGCATATTTATCTCGTATTTTTACAAAATACGATAGCAATCACACAAATAACACAAACTTGTCTGTCTTTGATTAGAAGCAGTAGCAATAGCTACAGCTACAGCAGCAGTGAGCAAAAGAAAGAATACGACGAAGAAGCAGTAACTTTTCTAATTTAGAAAAATTCTATTGTGGTTTGTGATCTCTCTCTATTTTAGCTGAGATCAGAGATTACTCAATTCAGTAAATCGTCTAGTTAGGCATGTTTTGAAGGCATTTCAAATGCACAGTGACCTTGCATGAAATGGAACTTTGCTTAAATAGAAACAAGGATATAGTATGTGTATGGCATTTCCATCTATTGTGTTTGTAAGTTTAAAAATAAATATTCTCGTTTAAAAAGCGAGAAAAGAAGAGAGTCACTCATGTTTATCCCTTGAGGGCATTTATCAGATTTAAAATTCACAAATATACGCTAAGTTTTTGAAACAAAAACAGTTCAAGTAAGTGTGTTGATTGTGGTGTGAAATAGACTCTTCATCTTCATCAATCATGATGTCATAAAGAAACTTTATGATAAGATATGTTAAAATGTTACCTTCTGTAATCGCTCCATCACCATCACTATCAAACTTGACAAACAGACTCTCCAATTCACATAAGGGCATGGTTTGAATGACGGGACTTATCATATATTTGATGAATGTTTCTTTTTTAATACTTCCAGCTTCTAAAATGATAACAGCGATCATTGAGATCATGTTCCTACACCTACTGTCAACATCAAGTTCGTTAAAAATGAAATCTACTTCATCTCGTGTCGGCTCAGCTTTCATAGTTCGTAGAAGAACTGCCAATTCATTACGAGACAGATAGCCATTCTTGTCGATATCCAACATATCAAATGCTTCGGACAATTCTTTAAAAAAATGCATTAACAATGCTTCTTCTCTTCTTGACCATAATTATCATAATGTAATTAGAGTTCATTGCGTCCATTATATGGTGTCATGAGTAGTTTTAGTGCTTGAGTGGTCTTTATGTTCCCCAGCTGTACTTTGAGAGAGATGAAACAATATAAACAAATTGAATTCGACTTCCAGCCTATCCACGAGAAAAATGTATTAGATCTATTTAAGACAAAATATTGCCATGAGACCAAAGCTTTTCTCACAATTTACAGATGAAATAGCTTTCAAATTTGTTGTAAGTGCACAGCTGGATGAAACGGAAAGATAAAATTGAGGATAGGGGGAGGGTGTGAGAGAAGGGGCAAGAAAGCGAATGAGAAAGAGGGATAGAGCAAAAGAAGAAAAAAAACGGCACGGAGAAAGAACACCAGAAAAAGAGAGGGAGAGAAGAAAGGGTCGATAAAAGAATGAGAGGTTAAACCGATTGACGGGGAAGTACGAGCGAGAGGTTAGAGACCACAAGAAATGGGTTTTTTTTGTATTTACGCTAGACTGCATATAATTATAATAAGTTGATTGATTTCATGTTTTAGTATTCTTTTAGATTTGCATTGAATTATTTCATTTTGATGTGGAGTTATCTTTTCGTAGGCTCAGAGAAGCTTTCATTAGCATAGAAAGACATTTCATGACGTCTTACTCGTTTGGATTGAAAAAAAAAGAGACTCGCGCCACAAGTTGGCGCGTTAAGCTGAATGGCTTTGAATAAAAGAAAAGAAAAGAGTTGAATAAGGCGAACGTTACTCTTGATGAAGTTTGAACTTTGAAATAGGTATGATGAATGTTTCAAGAACCTACGTTTTTCGCTCAGAATGTATCTCTTGCAAATCAGATTAGCTGTTGGAACTCGAGACATCTCATCATCAGTCTTGTTTGGATGCTGAGAAATATCTGTAGACCGCAGCATTGAGCAATCCATCGTTTTGTTTGAATAAGCTGAAACGCTGAAGATCAGTTACGAAAACAACTTTTTGAATGAAAGAAACAATAGTATGTGATGCTAGAAAAGGAAAAGAATGTTGAGCTGGAAGGTTTTCAAGCAAGACACATCAACAAGGGCGGAGCCTTAGTGTATGTATGTGTGAATGATGTGTTAATTATTGATCAAATTGAATACTAAAACTATGAATGAAAAAATCATGATGACGAACAAGAAGAGAAGCACAAGGAAATGCAATAGTTGTTGATAGAAAATGTCTTTTCGTCACATCGTTTTTTTTTTCTCCCTTCTTCACTGTTAGAGAGAGAGAAAAAAACGTTCGTCAACGTTATGAGATCCAAGTGTAAACTTTTTTTTCTCTTTTTTTTTGCAGTCCTCTAAGAAGCCAGTGCACAATGACCAGTTAGAAAATGTCAGAAAATAGATTGCTTCTGCTACAATGCTAGAAATTGAAATTTCAACCGGAAAAATTGTGCTGAACGAGCAATGTGGAGAGAGTACTTTAAGTTTCTCTCTTTCTCTTTCCCTCTTCCTTTCTCTCTCTATCTTCTTCTCTCTTTTTCTTTATTTCCCTCGCTCTCTTTATTTCTCTCTCTCTTTCTCTTCCCCTATCTGTCACCAAATTGCTTTAGAGGCTATCTGAACTTTATAAAAAAAAATCAAATAAACTCATACAAATTTCAAATGTCAAATCAGCTTAATTTGATGACATCTATCAAAGCATAAATCAATAATTACATTTTATATAGTACATAAACACATAGTTACAAAGTAACAATGTTCAAGAAAATATTTTTGAAAATCATAAAGTGCTTAAAAACAAACCATGAGGAAATGGTGGTTTCTCACACACACAAAATCAGGGCTAATGGACTTGAAACAAATCGTTTTTTGATAATTCCAGCCAAACATTCGTTTCAGTCTCATAATGTTTGCTTCTTAAAGCACAAATGAATAATCCATCTGTGCTTCATAGTTTAAATTAGGCTTTCAAGTCGATAGTGGAAAGAGAAATGCAAAGAAGAACAGACATTTTTAAACAGAAAACGACAGCGAGGTTTATCGAGATTATGAGTTTTTGAATTCATCTCTTTTCATGTCAAAAGAGCATATCAAGTACGTAAACAGCTGTTTCAAAAAAATGCTGACACATGGGTGTGAGCGTTATGTGAAACATGTTGTGACAGATGCGTTATGAGCATGTTTGTTTGTGAATATCTATAAACAAGCAACATCATTATATTTCTGATTAGTGTAAGTCACAGGGTTGAGAGAAAAAGCAAGAAAATCGGATGCAAGGGAGACGAAGAAGAAATAACTTTTCTTCTCTCCAACCACTAAAGTAATATATAAAATGTGATATAAATGATTATATTCATGTTCAGAACGTTTGAAAATGAATAAATTGTGAATGAATGTGATGCTACACCAGGATTCATATGATCAATCACACCCTGTTTCACCAGATATTTTGTAAAATCATGTAAGCATGAGTATGGATAAGTTCCTTGTTGATCTTATATTTTTTCAGGACAACTTGCGAAAGGAATGCTGAAGTATACAGAAGTGTAATTTGGAACAAAGAGAAACAAAGAAGCTTGAATCATGACGACAGATTGCGAACTTTCAGTAAGTTTTGAGAAATTCAATCGCATACCTGGTCTCGAACATGATACTAGAGAATTTGATGCAAATATGCTATATGGATAGGCTATGAAATGAAAAATACCTTATGGAAATTTTGATTTTGAAAATAAGCAGACCTTGAATACTATGAATGCGAGAGACAAAGAGAGAGCCTCATGGGAATCAAACCGTCATTTTTGCGCACTGTGAGGGTACTAGAGAGAAAGAGAGAGAGAGGGAGAGAGAGAAGGGCACGTGAGCCGCATGCGGTAAGTCGTTGCTCGGCTCTTTGCCAGACATGAATAAGTAGAAGATATATCTTCGGCAAAAATCATATCCATCAATCTGCATGTTATGCTGAATATTCTCAGTGCAACTAGTATATGTCATCTGTTTGACAGCTAGTATCTCATCTTTGATTTTCGATTCATGTTATTTTAAAACTCTTTTCAAAGATTTATTTCTCGACAGAAACAAACAAAATAAAATAAAAAATAGAAAAAGAAAAAGAAGAAGAAGGAGAAAGGAAATTAAAAGAATTTCATTATTTTAAATCTGCATGAGAAGAGACGTTTGTGTTGTCAGAAAATGAAATGTTGATGATCAACATGTTTCTCACACATCAGTTACGACCTGCAAATAATAAAAATGAAGTTTAGTTATAGCATTAGAGTACAAAATAACTAACTTCAGCAGATGCTTCATTCTTGTTATCGAAGTTATAATGAATGCGAAGGGTAGGAGATGATGACTGCAATGGGGTTCTTTCTGTATTATAAATGCTCATATCTATCATTTCGTTGCCATATATAGTAGAAATATGAGCCAGTCTACCTGTTGATGGAATACAACGTATACTATTCAGGATAAAGAGACGAATATTATCAATTGTTTCTCTTGCCTGAGTATTCAATCCATCATTACACAAATAACAGATAGGTGTGACCTTAACAAATATATCATTGATTGATCACTTGTTTAAAATAGAGGATTACTGTAACTCCAATAAGACAAATTAATGAACAGGCGACTGTCGGACCATATAACCATTTCCCAATCATTTTGTTTATTAAAGGAAGCGAAAACAGAGGTAGCCATCCAAGTAGCTAATTAGTTATTATAATAATTATATAAAAATAAATAAATGTGCAACGTACCTGCACTATGAGAATAGCAATAAGCGTACTAACGAGTCGCTGCTTTTTCTTGAAATATCGTCGAGTTGCATTTTCTGTTTGTTTTCCTATCGGTTGCTTTTTGTAAAGAAAGTATGCTAGATGCGAATATGCAGGAATCATTATGACTAGCGGAATTGCATATTGAAACAGAAATATTGCCTACAAAGATATTATGTATAGAAATCAAATACAATATGTATGTAAGCTATTACATAATTCAAAGCATAATCATAATTAGTTGGCAGACGCCCACATCTGATTGATACATCTGTTTGTAGACCAGATATGACAATCTGAAAAATGAAAAAATATATTATTGCATAACACTTCCAACAAATGTTATATCTGACTTTGCTTTCATAAATATATGGACTAGCTACGAACACAGAGAACATCCAAGCAACCACTGTTAACAGAATGGCAATACGAAAGCTCATACGATGCTTCCGATAAAATATAGCCAGCCATCTGTCTAATGCCACAAGTGCCATAAAGTAAAATGAACCTTAATAGTATCAAAATTAGTATATTTTTTTGTTTTTCATTCAAGCTGTACTTGTTGCTGTAACATATGGCATCGAAAATGATATTTTACAAATAATTTTTCCTTAATAAAGTATATATGTTAAAAGAGCGTTGTTAGAACAGAGATCGTACCGAGATACCAGTTAGCTTCTAATATGAATGTTGATAAGAAGTATGGTGAGAAGAATGTTAAGAATAATAAATTACTCATAGCCATATTAGCCATTAACATATGACTAACTCGATGTAAGCCAGTAGCTTTCCAGATTACGTAACAGAAGAAGGTATTTATAATAAATCTGTCATATAAGAAATATTGATATATTTAAAAAATGAAACAAAGTACCCCAATGAAGCAAACGTGCTGTAGATGCATGCAGATATGATTCGGAAATAGTAATCAGCCCGTTGGGTATTAGTGAAGATGCCTTGAAAGCTAAAAATATTTTAAAAATTTTTGTTTTAAAAGAAGAAATGAGATATCATACGCTTCTTCACTATCAGCATCATCAATAATATCAAGAAATTCCTATGAAAACAATGGAATATGTTGTAGTGTTAATAATCATCTGTACATACCTCTGTCGAATAACCAGCTTTCATAGGAGTAATATAGAATTAATGAATTACTGAAGTTGAAGCCAGATGTGTGTATGTTACAGATTTATTTTGAAAATAAGTAATATGGCTATGACCTTGAATAGATTGAGTCAATTAGTAAGATATATAAGATAACATAAATGGAGATTTGAAATTTCATATAAATCATGGGAGCATGTTAATGAATTATCAAATAAGCCAGAATCTATCACAAATTCGTTCTCTCTCTTTCTCTCTCACTGTTTCAGATATTTTTCATTTATTCTTCTTTCCTTCTCTTCCTTCCCCCCCCCCACCTCCTATTTTCCCGAGTAAAAGACACAATTCTAAAAACCGAATGAAAAACAAAAAAAATTGTCCGAAAGTTTTGTTTTTATCTGCGAATCATCCCAATTTTGATTATAACAGAAAGAGAGATCGGGAGGAGGGAAGAGAGTATATTCCGTTAATACGAGAAAAAAAATAAAAAATAAAATAAATCTGCTGAAAAAGGAAAGAAAAAAAGAAAGAAAAAGAAAAAGCTTAAAGTTTTGAAGAAAAATAAATTATGTGAATCGAAGTTAATTATCTTTTTTGTAGAATGATAATTAAAGAAATGAAAAAAAAATATATATTTTACTTTTTAGACTATTTATCTTCAAAACCAAAAAATATATGAAAAATAGCGAGCGAGAAAGCAGCTGATCAGAATGGCTGTATTGAAAACCAAATCTCTCGATAGGCCCATATCATATACCTCATATACACGCATATCACGCACCACATCGCAGCATATTTTCTTTCTTTTTTTTTTCAGAAATAATATGAAAATATGTGTATGTAGATGCCGATATGTGGCAAAAAATGTTTTATAGTCATTCAATATTCAAAACTTAAATGATTTCTATGAACAGCTAGTTTGGTGTTTCAATCTAGTCTTTAGTCAATGCACACAGAGCATCAGTTTCTTTCAGATTTATATCTATTTCATTAAAAATTAGTTGCAATCAGGGAAATCGAAAAGGAAATGAAAAATGGATGACAATAACAGATAACCTTCAACAATCTTGGAGTAATCACACACAATCAACAAATCATTCATCTCTTCACACATTCTTATATGCAAGAGCAAGGAATTTTAACGAAAAAAAGCTCATTTCCGGGTTAAATTGCTGGATGACCACCATATCTCTCAGTCGAATCAGATCATATCAATTTGAGCTCATCAATGTTTGAAAAGAAATCTCATGAAAATTGAAATAGAAGCTCATTACCACATCGTTTAGACAAAGAGGAAGAAAACGACAAAAAAATATTTTTTTTTGGACAGGAGGGGGGGGGGGAAGCAAAATGAAGACGCCGACAATAGCAAGAAGCGTGCTAATTGCACAAACTATATTTCAATGTTTCTCACTAATCTCTAACATGTAAGCATCAACATAGCAAAAATCTAAATATTATGATGAGCAACACCCGTTAACACCTTTTACAGTTCATTAGAGCAGATCAATTCGAAAAAAAAAATGAAAAAAAAAGGATGAAAAATAACTGCTCACGTATCTACGAACTACAAAACAATTGAGAAAAAAAATATTTTCACTCTCGCCTCTTCGCATGTTCATTAGATGAACAAAGTGTTTTTCATGAACATTTATTATTTTAGAATAAAAAAAAAGAGATAGGAATGTCTTAATAGAGAGAGCAATGGAGATGAAATGAAAATAACTTTTTCATAGAATATCAACTTTTTCTTTTTCCTCTCTCTTTGTTACTCTCTCCCTCATGCCATATCAGTGTGAAAACATTCAGAAGATCAGCATCAGCAGAAGAAAAGATGTTTTTTGCTTTAATTCATTGAAATATCCGGAGATGAAAAAAATCCTTTTTGTTTTTTAATTTTCAGCTTTCTTCTAAGATTACATCAAGTTCTTCTATACTTACACAGCATTGGAGAGCTTCTTTCAAATGCAGCGTGATAGATCAGCAGAAATGTAGTTTTTGCATTTCGTGCTTCATATATATCTCCCTCTCTCTCTCTCTAAGAGAAATAATAGAAAAAAAAAGTTTTTTGATTGAAAAACAGTAGAGGAGAAGCATTGAAGGATGATTGCGTTGTTCATTAATGATTTAAACAAATAAGATTATAAACAGTGGATGGTATGCCAAACGTTTGTTCTGCTGCTCATTCCTACAACTTTCTTCAATTTGCAAACGTCTGCCTTGAATATAGTATAGAAACAGACAATCTATTAACTATATTTGTAATATTCAATCAACATAACATTCATCACTCAACATCTATCAGTCTACTATTCTGAACGACCATATATAACAAGAAGTGAACATAACGAGAGACAAAATATATAAAAGGAAATAATACTCTTGAATAATCGCCTTACTGTATGGATCAATGTATTGCAACGCCAAAACAACGTCAATTCTCAACATCAGCTAAGAGGCCTGTGAAAAATCGATTGATTCAAAAGCAGGTCTCAAATTTTTTAATATTTAGTAAAGATATATTATATATTCTTGATTCTGCAGGGCATATGCAATATAAGCCTGAAAAATGTACCAAAACAAAGAAGAATGTATTGCAGGTGATTTGTTTCCTATAGATGCCAACTAACATATATATATATATATATATAATATAATATATTTTTTAATGAATATTATAAAAAAAAAAGAAATAATATATTGCAGTGACATATTCACAACTGTTATTGAGATGCAATGGAGATGGTTTTTTACTATCTTTGCTGTCTCATTCTTCGCTTCATGGACATTTTTTGCTTTATGCTATTTTCAAATAGGAAAGTATGAACATTTGAAATGAAACAAATTTTTCTCTAATTTTTTTTATCTAAAAAATGAAAAAAGATATGAAAGCATAAAATAAAAAAAAAAATATTTAATAGATTACATGGAGATATGTCGATACCTAGTAATGATACATCTTGGGAGCCATGCATTACTAATGGACAGGGCTTTCTAAACAGTTTTTTATTTTCTGTTACAACACAAACAACTATCGGATATGGTCATCGGTAAGATGATAAATGAATATAAACATAATAAATATAATATATAATATTATACTTAAGATATCCAACAGATCAATGTCTCATCGTTGTTGTGACTATGTGCGTTCAGTTTATGATTGGATTGATGACACAGGTATATAACACAACTCAATGGTCTTTCCTGTGTTCTTTGATAAATACTAATTATGACAGACGTTAATGGCCGGAATTATATTTGCTAAGTTAGCACGACCTATCAAGCGAGCCGCTACATTGATTTTCAGCAAAAATGCTGTGAGTATCAGCAATTTTAGATTCTTTCTTTCTTTTTTTTTCGGAAAAAACATAATGTTTATAGGTTATTTGTATGCGAAATGGGCATCTTTGCTTATTATTTCGTGTTGGCGATATGCGTAAGAGTAGTTTAGCTGAAGCACATGTTCGATTGCAGGTACAGATTTGAAGAGAAAAAAAATATATTTATTATTCAAGTATTATATATATATATATATATACATTTAGATGATTAAAAAAACATTAACAACAGAAGGCGAATTGATTCCTTATCATCAGATAGATATGAATGTTGGGTATGAGATATTTAAGAAATTATTTTTTTGTATCATTCATTTGTATTGAAAGGTATGATCAAGGCTTAGATCGCATTTTCGTCATTTGGCCAATTACCATTTGCCATGTGATTGATGAAGAAAGTCCCTTATTCGGAATAAATAAGGAAGATTTGATAACTGAATCATTTGAGATAATCGGTTAATTAACAACCTGTTTATATATTTTAATTAATATTTCTTTCAATTGCAGCTATATTGGAAGGTGTTGTAGAGAGTGTTGGTTCAACGACGCAAGCACGTACCAGCTATTTGCCTAAAGAAATTTTATGGGGAAAAAGGTTGAAAAAAGAGTTTGATTGATATAAATGATGATAATTCCGACACATTAAGATTTGAAAAGTTAGTTCAATACAAGAAAGATCGTGGACAGTACAATATTGATTTTGGAAAGTTTCATCATGTATTTGATGTTCGAACTCCAACAATGAGTGCAAAGAAAATGCAAGAATTGAGGGTTTGTCAGAAGCGAGGGAGAGTATGTTATTGACAGATTATCATTTCAGGATCGAGGGATTTTTGATGATTCGCTTTATAAAATTCATAATCCATTGAAAGCTGTTGATGATGAGATTGTTTATCAAGAAGATGATCATTTAGTTGAAATTAATGAATTTGAATAAATATTATTTCATTCTTATCACAATATTCAAGGTCATTCAGATATAATTGTTGGTATATCAGCATATTATCAGAATTGTTGTTGATTGAGGTAATATGAAAAATGAAATATCTCTCATTATAGATGAAGTTTGTTCAATATCACATGTTAAGCTGGATTTTTAAGATTGAAAAGATAAAAGAAGATATTTACGTCAAAAGATTCTTTTTACGTCAACTATATACTGTCTTTGAATTATTTACAACCATCAATGTTTTGATGATGTGCTCTATGGCCTCTGATCAGAATACTTTGAATATACATGAATTGATGTTCCACTGAGATCAGAAAATTCATTGAATGAATCATGTTGTTAGTACTATTGGTTAGATAACTCAGAGAATAAGGTTTCAGAGTCATATGTGAATGCTATATGGCCTTTTCTTTTATTGTTTTCACTTGTTCCCATTATGGTCCACGTAAAGAATATGTTAGAAAAAAAGAAGAAGAACAAGAAGTCTACGCTTATTAGATGAAAGCAAAACTTGTAACACCATATGGACTATGAGTCCATATAATTATGGGGATTAAAGCTTCTGCACGTGTATGTACTAATTCTTGTTTTTCTTTTTTTTTCAAAAAAAAAACAACCAACATGTAATCCTTTACTCAATTCCGTATGGACTTTGCCTATAATTATAGGATTAATACAGGTGTGTGTCATGTAGTAACTTTGGCAAAGTTGACATATGTCAGTGCAGTGAACCAGATGATTCATGCAAGCTGTTTGTTCATATTCCTCTTTCTCTCTCTGTCACTTCTTTTTAAGAGAGTTTCACGGAGCTTTGTCAGAACTAGAGATCATTGTAAAAACAATGACAAACAATTCTGTTAACGTACGTAACGAACATTCATTTATGATTCCACACTGAATTGTAGATATTACAAAAGAATCGCAACAACAACTATTTTCCATTAAATTGTTTCCTCAAAAATAAAAATTCAACTTGTGACTGGTCCGATGTTCAAGGCTGTGGAAGTAATTCGTTGAACGTTAATCTCATAATTGTTGAAGGGCTAAGTGTACCTTTGAAGCTTTTCTTCAACAGGTGACATATGCACTTCAGTGCACACGACATGGTATTGCAACATAAGTTGATTAGCTTATCTACTAAATATGGTAGAAAATTAAAAGGAAACTTTATAAATGTAATTAGCTTAATAGAAGCGGAAAACTCTGCAGCTGCTATTTCGGTGTTCGTTTGAACCAAAAATTCAAAATAAGTTGCAATTATCGTTTATAGGAAAAGAAAATATATTATAAATTAGCCTCTCTCCTTTTTTATTTTAGATAGTCCCAAATATATATTAAATTCTGTTTATAACTCAATAGAATACATATACTTCCTTCTTTGGTTGAGAGTAACAGAAAGAGGGAGAGAGGAGAGAGAATGAGAGAAAGAAAGAAAATAACTTTGTTCAATGGGATACTGTAGCTGGATACGTTGAGTTACCAATCAGAGCCAAACAGCTTGATTTTCAAAATAATATTATTCAATTAATTAAAAAATTCTTTTTTTTCTTCATTTTCTTTTCATTCAAAATGAATATATAATGAGAGAATAAGATGAAGATAGTATACTGTCTGTCTTGAACATATGTTATTCCTTAGCTGTCAGGTTATGCCGACAGCAAGAATTGAAAAAGAATTGCTGAGATAGATTAAAATGAATTTTGTGCAACAAGTGATGGTCATGCATGCATGACAATTTAATTGTTCATCTCAATTCGTCAAGATGAGCTTTTATTCAATTATAATACTTGCAAACTCTCGAATTAAAAGTAGTAGATGTGTCAGAAATTTGTGCTGTCTTATTTATATCCAATGACATAGTAATTCACCAATTGACAGATGTCGGGTGACAGTTCGGGAGACGGTAACATGGAAATGGTATATCATTCTTGATCTCTCTATAGACTTCACAAAACAGTTCACTCCGTCAGGTGTGTGAAAACCTAATGATATGATGCGGAGGCAAACTGTAGATGCTGGATTAATCAGGGTTGAAAAAATTATTTTTTTTACGGATTGCCCTCAAAACATGTTTTGCCTCCCCCTTGTAGTCTATTGCATAGATGTATTACTTCGGTTCTGTAAATTATGTAGAAAAGTTATGTTTGGCAGCAAATTCTGTGATGTGGAAAGTAATTCGTAGCAAGACTTCCGATGAATAGAGAAGGCCAGTCAACACCAATTGTATTGACTGCTCTGTTGAGCTGACATACTTAAGCGAATACCGTATGACAAGAAGTTATTCTTCACTTTATATTTCGTAAAATGTTCTTGGAAATTCTCCCCTCATATGGTGGCACCGAAATAGTAGCTCAGCTTTGGAAAGAATAAAAAATAAGTTCCATAGTCCATATGGTAAAGTCATAAAGTTTTTTTAACAAATGAGAATTGATGATGTAATCGAATAGAGATTCTTATCGTAAATCAGGAAGACTGTTGCTTAATTATGTTGTTGATTGAGACTCATTACAGTAGTAATTGCACAATACCGGAAGAGAGACTGATTATGAGGTCGTGTCTTAATCATCGGAAGTCTTGAATATGGACAAGTTTGTGAATGATATTACGTAATAACATATAATTAGTTATTAGATGAGGAAAAAGATATTGTTCTAAGCAAATCAAATAAGTCAATAAAGCAAGATAACAATCTTAATCTCATTGACTGCTATGTCAAACGGCTAACTGGGGCTTCTCTAATAAACTTGAGTCAATGGCAAAAAAAAGTTGTAGACAGATGTTGAGATGCTTGAGAATTGCATCTTACTGTAGTTGACATGCAATATCAAGATCAGACATTGAATATCATGACTCACTACCAAAGTGCTATCAATAGCTTCGAACTCACTATAAGGGTAAGTTGTCTGGATGGAGAAAGGTGAAACTGTCGGAATACATTATGATATTGAGAAAAAAAAGGAAGAAATGAAAAAAGACAGCCGCTCTCCATCACCAGCTACGGGAGAGTGTTTCATTCTTGTTCATCCCACCTATTCTTTTCCGGATGACCAACGGTGCGACTAAGTGCGATTTCACTTTTGACTGGACAAATGATTTGTTGCGTATGTAACATCATTCTTTTGGCAGCATAATATGACATGCCTCGTCTCATGAATGACTGCTCAAGTGATAAAATTGCGATTATGGTCACTGAACGGCAGAGACAACCAGGAGCGCTTATTCTAGCATGATGAACACCAATCTAATCCAATCAGCAATGGTTCGTTGTCTGTCGCCGCCCTGTTTGTGGAGATGTGAGTCCGAGTGGAAAATGCTGTTGCGAGATAATGATAGTTGGAACATCAAGTATTTATTTACAAATTAGTTTTATTCCATTTTGTACTTTTTTCTTTTACATTTATTTTTGAAGATGATGGCTAAAATTGTATAAAGATGGAAAGAATGTGGGTGGAGGCGGCCCCGCCCTGGAAGTCGCTGGCTATTGGTTGTTGTCCGCCCGGGAACGAACTCAACTGAATCTTTTTCCACCTCTCCTGGACAGCAAATTTAGCTTCTGGCTTAACTTATATATATCCTCTGAATCTATTTTTTTCATTATATCATTCTTGTCCTTTCGCTACTCATTAAACAAATCATTCGATTAGTTCCATTTAGTTGAAACAATGCGTGAAATCATCTTATCTTGTTAAGTATCATTGGATCTTATGTGATTATTGAGATTATCTTCTTGTTCTTCATTCAATTACATTGAAAAAACTCATTGAAACATAAACAATTACATTTCTAATGATATACGGTTGACTAGCCATCTTCAATTCATTTACACACCTCAATAAATGAAAGTTTCAATTTCTGTTAAAATTCACAATCGATGGAATATCTTGGTAGTTAATCAAGCGTATTCAAGCAATCATCATCTGTTTAGAAGTGTTGTTCCAAATCAATCGTTCAGATATATATTCATGAACATCCTATAGCATATCAATTGAAGAGTGAAAGATGATGAAGGCGAGAAAATATATATATAAAAAGCTATTCCATAGAAACAATATCTGAATACTTCCGTATTGGATATTATGAGAATGAGATAGAAAGAGTCAACCTTTAGTGAGGATATTATTGAATTAACTCATCAACATAATGTATAGTCAAAAAGAAAGTTGAATAACTTTCGACAATAGGACTGTCGGCACGATTATAGATATGTATTAATAACTATATACAGCATACCTCATGCATCTCATATTACTATTTTCATCTTAATGAAGAAAATACAATATGCAAACATAACTACGGTCTTTCCATTCATAGATGGTTGTTATTGTGTTATATCTCCAGATGAGTTAATGACAGTCAGTGGCGGTATCTATAGATGTTATAATTCAACGGCTGCCACTAATGAATTATCTTATAAAACAACATTCCTAATTAATAATTATAATAAAGGTAGAAAAACCATCTTATGAATACATCCAAAACAACATTCAATATCCAATAGATGCCACAATGCAAAAATTGCAAATTTTGCTTCCCCCCCCCTCTCTACCTTCATCTATCCTCTCATTCTACCCCTTTCTTCAGAAAATCTATATAGGAGACAGTTCTTTGTTTCTATCAACCCCCCCCCCCCCCTCTTCATTCCTTTTTCAAATATATTCTCTTCTTATCATCAATGGAATTACTTTTGTTGTTTTGCTTTCATTCAGATAACATGAATCTGGCAGCATTGAGAGCATCTCATATCTGTTTTCATTTCAATCCGTCTTCTACAAAAATCAAAATAGCCAAACATAATGTAATTTTCTAAGAATAAATGAATCTTTTTTTTTATTTCATTCCTTATTCACATCCATTACTGTGCTTTTAGTCATTTTTTTTTTCTCCCACTCTGAACACATTTTTTGTCATTACACGACCGTGACATGTAAGAAGACACTTTTTTAGCGCTCTACCCGCATCATGAAGTAACCTTCAATAAAAAGGTGTATAAAGATACAAAACCGGCTTTTCTTTAGATCATCATAATTGAATGTTTTATATTTAACTATTATGCGAACAGAAATTCGATTAAGGTAAAAAGAAAAGTTTGCTGTGTCTTCATGAAAGAATCATGTTGTTAATTTTCAATTTGAAATGGATCTTAGTCCAGTTTTCGGGAAAATGAACCTAAAAAAAAAAAAAAGTTCTCATTATTGAAACATGAACTATCTCCCCTAACTAAACTTATCTATTATTTTGTTATAATTAAACAAATAAGTTAGCTATCACATAAAATATTAATTAAAATCAAACTATCTATGAACTTACGTTTGCAGGTTAATCTTGATCATATGAATACGATAACATCAATTTCATCATGACTTCCGTTACAAATTTGTCAGTTGTTACATGTGACGTAATTAACATGTCATCAAGCGACAATTGCACAGTTATGAACTCAAGATTTACTCAGATGTTTTCTCGATTAGATAGTAAGATAATGGATATTGACTTGAGAACGAGATATCTGCCATGTCAGACAGCAATCTCTCTATCTCTGCCATACACACATTGCGACTGATTTTTCAAAACTATCAGATTATGAAAATTTTTTTTCATTAAATATCTGGATTTTAAAGAATTTCATTGTTATTAATGAATTGAAATGAAGAATCTTCTTTTCTATCATCCTGCCTAACTGAATCTTTCTTCCTGTACACATTTTTCGTACGCTCCCCACCCCAGATGCCAGATTGGTGGGCGGAGTCTGAGTACGGTCACACGCGTGGGTATTGGCCAGTTCTATCTGTTTCCACGTATGTACATCATATTTACAAATCTGAAGCAATGAAGCATTGACAAATTCGATTACCTTGTTATTTTTATTTTTTTTATCGTATGATTGATTATCTCAGTTCATTGGTGATTTGATTGTCTTAGCAACTCATCCTAAACCATTTAGCACTTTCGTTAATTGCTAACACATCTCATAGCTTCTTTTTTTAATTTTAATTCCTTTCTTCATCATCTTTCCTTGATATTTCTTGAACATCAAAACTATTTATAATTTGTTAAAATCAGATTACATTTTTTTTCCTTTTTTTTCGCATCAGAATCGGTTTCAATTCGAATGTTCGCTTGTATTATAATTTGCGATTTTTAAACTTACAATACTTCCAAACTTCCAATGTTCCTCTTTCGAAAGCAGCTTTCTTTCTATTTCCTCTTCTGAACCTTTATTAGTTCACTAGCTTACAACCTCTCATACACACTTTCATCAAGTTCATAACTCAAAGCAGTGAAAATATGCTGTTTTCTCATCAACTTCTCTGTCAATTACCATATTATATAAATTAAATATCTTCTAAAAACACATATCTAACATGAATACGTATGAAGAGTAAGAGAATGAGCTGTTGCAGTTGGTTCATAATAAATAACTGCAACTAACACAGCTTACTCTGAAACACAGCAGTCACTGACAGCACGCATGATTAAGCCGTACAAGTTGTGTGAGTGAATTTCACGCTTGACATGATAGCTCAAAATAATATACATCAACTAGAAGTAATATGTTATATGAAACAATTAATCTAATAATTATACTATCAATATGTTAACATCTATATCTGTACTTCTTAATTATCATAACTATAACATCATTCTCATCTTCATATATATATATTATATTATCTATTACAGAATATTCATTTTCACAACGATATCCCGCTTTTTTATAACTTTACTGGTAATGACTATTGTTACTGGAACGCGGAAAATACCTTCGGGACGTGGTATGTTCTCATTAACTATATTAACATATATATATATAATCCATATAAATATGCTTCTTCTTGTTATTCAATACGAATCCAGAAAGAAAAACTTTTTTTTTCTTTCTCTCTCTTCCTCCTATTCCATTCTTCAAAATCGATTTCATTCTGCTTTTCAAATAACGCTTTAACCTTTTTCCTTTTTTGGGGGATATTGAGATTTTAAAGCAAAGCAGTAATATTCTTGAAACATTCATTTAAAACAGCCTGTATCCGATAATTATCCATTCTAATGCAAATATACTAACATACAGGAAGTTATGAAGTTTAAAACCTTTCTCTTGTTCGCGCTTAAAGTGTCTCAAATTGCTATTGACAGACTAATTATAGTTCATCGTTTCATATTAATTTGATATTGTTATGACACAATATTCAAGAAGAGAAGGTATTCTGCATATCCTCTATCTTCTATCATCATCATTCATTCTTTCATTTCATTGCCAAAAATTTTGCAATTGAAATAACAATATCAATTAAAAATTGGAGACAGACACACAAAAATCATGTTTTAAGAAAGTTTCAAAACCAATTGACCTTACCATACTCAGCAATCATAAAAATGAACGGTTATTGTGACACACAGAAGAAGACTATAGACGTTACAGCTATTTTGCATATAGCGGTCATTCATTTAATTGAATGAGCTGTTGAGAAGAGAACAACTTTCTTTTTTTTCTTCACGGTCACTAACTCTGTATTTCAACAAAAATCATTTTCGTCAAATAAAAATTGAACGGAAGTGATGTTCGTCTATCTTCTTGTCTTGTTAGCCGACACAAAGCCCATATAACGTTCATTTCTACCAATCCACTTAAAACATTCAAATTTTCAATGCTTTTTGCAACTCAAATGACATTGAAAAGTTCATTTCATAACAATGAAGATATGTGTCTTCTAGATAATGCTCATAACGGCTAATCATTATATGTTATCCTTACATATTCATTTCACACATGCATAATTCTATTATGAGGGATTTGTGAAGTAAATCATTTTTTAACCTCATCATCTATTGAATGAATGGCCCATTCAATTAGAAAAACATCATTCAAACTCATAAATGACGTTTCAATAAGCTGAAAAGAGATTCATAAAGAAGTGATAGTTAAATCTTTTTTTTTCTCTTTTTTTCTGAGGAAATTAGTATTTAACACATCTGGGAGGTCAAACGACTGAAAATAAATGTATGAAATGGATTTCAATAACAATTATTTTCATTTTAAAATAGTTTTTGAGAATATATATATCTATTTCATCTTATATTCTCAATTACTAGATGAAGACACAGTCATTCTTATTCCATATGTGAGACTGTTGCTTATATGGCAATTAACTACGGTCACAAAGCTACTGTTGAACTATTTTTGTATTGTCGGCAACTCTTTGTGTTACATACGGTGACAGATTGCGGATTGACTAAATTGGACAAACATACGCAACACGGCGCTTGCCAACTTTTCATTAACTGAGATTATACTCAGTCAGAGGTCAACACTAATGAACATCAACAGGATGTATTCATTAGCCCCCATAAAATAGAATAGAAACAATAATACTCCAAATCAAGTCATATGACTTCTGAAAACTTAATTAAATTACAAAAAATTCTTTTTTTTTTTGTAACGAAAAGTAGTCATGCTAATCATGTATTAGCAAGGATTTATAATAACCTTCAAAAAGCTAAGAATCTGATAAACTGTTCTATAGAGTTACCGCTAATCGCCGGCACCTACTTATGAATTAATAAATAAGAATGGTTTTAACATTAGAAGAAGATGAGTTTATCTTAATACAGAGTTAATCAAGCGTGTTTCTTCATCTCTTATCTTACAATTCTATCATTTTGATATCTTCTGATTTCCCTCATTATATTTTAGCGACATTCTGTTGACTAATAACTTCCGTCTCTTGTCGGTTGTCTTATCTGCAGAAACTCACTGACCCGGCAATTATGTAGCAATATCGAATAACATTCTAAGGTTTTTTCCACACAAAACTCATATAACAGAAATGTGTAATCATGGATTGTTCTCATCTATGGGTCATTCATATGATCTTGAGTACTGTCACATAAGATATGAATGAAGTATCAAACTCAAAAAATGAACAGAAGGGATCTTGTAGAGTCATGTGGTTACAGTTAATGACTAGAACTTCATCACATTCATCATTCAGCAAGATCACTTAGACTTTTAATACGAAAGATCGTACACTTCTCCAGTAGTAGTCACTTGACACACTGTGTCCATATGGCAAAAGAATTTCGAAAAAAAAATAAACAAAAAATTCATATTTCGGGACAGCCTACTGTATTTAAAGGAAGATCAAATGAATAATTATGAATCTGAATCACCGGTCTGAATAATCAAGAAGAAGCATATCACCTGATAGCCAGATTATAATATACATCCTTTTGTAAGTTCCAGATACAGGTGGACATACGGGTGTCAATCAGCTTGGAGGAGTTTTTGTAAATGGCAGGCCATTACCAGATCAAACTCGAGAACAAATAGTAGCAATGGCAAAAAGCGGTCAGAGGCCATGTGATATTAGTCGATATCTACAAGTATCCAATGGGTATGTTTTATGTGAACCATTTAATTTTTTTTCTCAATATTGTATTGGGTCTGCTACTTTTAACCGATAATAAGAAGTATTCTGATGATTGGTCACACCCGTCGTTTATGACAGCGAACATGGGTCTCGGACAACTTGTTGTCATTGTCATATTCGTCTTCTCGTTTCGCAAGTCGTCGACATCATCATCTTGGTCGTTTTTACGCCTTCTTCACTTCACTTTTTATCCATTACGCTGTTCTATCAATTCACAACCTGTTAACGATTGTCATTTGCTAATTCGTTTCTGCACAGTTGACAACGTTGCCAATTTGGTTTTAATCATATCTCAATCAGAAACAATTATATTTTTATTCTATTTTTTTATTCTTTCTCAGAATATATATATTCTTAGATTTCATATTTCAGTTGTGTTTCTAAAATTTTGTGTCGATATTACGAATCTGGTACGATAAAGCCACGAGCAATTGGAGGATCAAAACCAAGGTAAGAGACATCATTCTAGCTATAGATAAATAGTTTACAAAATTGATAATATTAAGAGAGAGGGAGGGAGAGAGATAGAGAGAGAGGACTCTGGAAGACTTTTTTTTCAAGGAAATAAGCTATAAGCACTTCCGCTGTTTTCGTTCAGCAATACAGAGCCATATAGAGAGACGGAAATTAAGTTAATGCATTTATCCGGTTGTGATGACTTGTGATTTATGATAATAACGCTTGTAGATACGCATCAGTATTCCATAGCATAACACTAATTATAAATTCAACAAGATACATTTGAATAACTCTATTATTTAATATAAAAGAAAAATGAATTTGTTTCCATTTTTCATCGTTAGTTCCTTCAGTAGTGTTAACCCTCGATAGATGTCATTCTGACAGCCGTTCTCTCTATACAGAAAGATAAAAATGAAAAAATAATAATATAATTTGTTAAAATAATATAATTAATTTAAAAGACTAACATATAATGATTTGCATCATTGTTTATAGAATTAAAATTCAATTTAATTTAATTAATTCAATTATAACTCTTCATGTAGATAGATACATTGGAAATGGATTACAATCAGCCCCCTCTACACCCTCTCTCTCTCTCTATTTCTCTCTCTCTCTCCTTCCTTTTCACTCTCTATCTCACTTGATCAATCCTATTTTTATATATTTTATTAATTTCAGAGTAGCAACACAAAACGTAGTTTTAAAAATTGAAGAATATAAACGGGAGCAGCCTAGTATATTCGCATGGGAAATACGAGATAAACTGCTCAGTGATAACATTTGTACAGCCGATAGTATACCAAGTGTAAGTTCTGTTTCAGTCAATTCATATACCCTTTGTGGTCTTTCTCATTCATTTTTTTTTTGATTTTAACTGCTATCCTTGAATTGCTAATGCGCCTACCTACTTTCTGATTAAACTCGATATCTATTCAATACTAAGTTTTCTATGCTATCCACTCAAGAACAGGTGTTTTCCTGGCACCCTGTTCTACCGTAACATTTTTGGTTCGAAAAAAACCTGTTATTTGAGCATTTCATGTACAACGTCCTCAACAACTTCAAATTGTAAAAGACAATGACTGTTGATAATAATCTAATACTCTTTTCATTCACACTGGCTCCAACTAAAAAAGAAATAAAAGAAGAACCCAAGAAAATATATAATTTTTGACATTTTTCTCATCTTAATGTTGTAGTCGTCTGTCAATAACGTTAGACGTCTCATAAACTTTCATCTATTCATCTTATATCCTTTAATGGAGCTTAAAATAATAAAATGAATAATGACAAATGAACAAAATGTTTTTTAATTTCAGGTGTCATCCATTAATAGAGTTTTAAGAAATCTGGCGTCCAAAAAAGAACAACAACAGCTGCATAGCGATTTCTACGATAGATTTCGCTTAGTGGATCAGAACCAACTGTAAGTTATCGTTCATGAGTGAAGCTCTTATAAAATATGTGAATATATATATTATATTATCAAGCTTCATACCATCTATAGAGATCTAGAATACAATCATTCTGCATGAGATAGCTACCATATATGAACATCCACATCAATTTATATATCTTAAACGATATTTTTTGTTATTAAGAAGAGAGAGGTTCATACGGTGATTTTCGCATGATTGAGTTTGAGATTGTCTTAATACGTTGGCGACCTTCATATTCACTACTCACGGCAGTTGATAAACTTTTGTGAATATTTACGATCATCAACTTCATCTAGTTGAATTATCTAATGAAAATCACTTTACAACAATGATAACAAGAACATTATAATAATAATAATAATAATAATCAGAATAATATATTTATTATAGATATACAACGTGGGGATATAATCCATGGCAAATGTCTGTACCTACAGTAGGCCTAACACAATTTTCATCAATACCCCAACCAGATATTGAGTCGAAGAAGACAATCGGTAAGTCACTTTCTCACACATAGCATAATATATATATATATATATATATATGAAAGAAAGGCATATAGTTAAAGCATTTGCTATTGACAGATATAGAACTGCCTCTCTATAAGTTTAACGACAGTCATAATGACTAGTGATGGTAATGAATCCTCTCGATCATCATCATCACATTATTAAATGATACCCTATTAAAAAATTAGTGCCACGATTGGCTATAAAGATATGAGTGATTTGAATGATAGAATGTGACATTTATAACACGCGGCGACGGGTAAATGGTTGAATTCATCGGCAAATGTTCATGAACATGACATTAATATCGATAAGGATGGTGCTAGTTCAGAGTTACGTCTCACAATGCATGCCTGCAATCATCAGACGATGGTTACATTCTATTATTTGCTTTGCATATTCTATTTATATTCATAATAGTATTTTAATTATATCATATCATTAAGCATATACTATTATAGTAATTATACTCATTCATAATGTCGCTCTATTGATTTCTCTAATCATCGTTTGTTAACTATCTTTCCTCCAGCTTCGAGACAGCACTGTACAATGTGGAAGCGATTCGTGATTGGTCCACCGTATCCCTGTGTGTATGTTATAAACTTGGAGAAATAGATGAAAAATCTTACATAGAAAGCTCTACCTTAGTCCCTAAACAAGAAGCTTCTCTTTGTTACTTCATCTAGCATCATATTTGAATTTTAATCATATTATTCAAATATTTATAGAACACTATTAATTTAATTGGACTATAAATTAACAATTAACTCAACCCCCCGTCTCCGCTGTCTGTCTGTGCAGTCTTTTTATTACGGTAGAACACCTGGCCTTCTGAATTCCAAATTTTGTTTTCTTGCTTGATTGAAGGTAGAGTTAAAGAAAGAACTGAGAGAGAGAGAGAAAGAAGTGTACAGAATATGATGACTCAATAGTGAAAGGCTTTACAGCATTGAAACTGGCAAGAAACGAGTGATTTACCATATATAGTCACCTTTCCCCCAACATTCCCTGTTCCTTCATCTCTAAGAACATTTTCATTCTTCTTCTACCTTAATCTTCTTGCCTCGGTGCAAGCAAGTTGCTGTAGGATTACGGTACCTTGTGTTATCATTCACGCTGCGTTGGGGACCTGGAATGCATTGTTCCCCAAGCGCTTAAGAAGAATCATGAGAATGAAGTGAAAGATAAAATATTTTCGAACTTAAGACTGTAGACAGTATACGTCAACTGATGATATGCATGAGCATGAGACATGAGCCATCAGCTACAATCATTAGGTGAATGATTGGTATAGCTAACTGATAGCGATCATAGAATACAGAAAGCTGTCAGATTTGCATTCCATCATTTCTGTCAAATTTTGTTACTCACTGTCCCGAGATGTTGACATGCAATAAAACTATTTACGCATGTAAGCTGTCACTTCAAATGATATCTTTATAAAGTTGTATAAGACATATACTAGAATCTGAAATTGAGACGGCTATTCAAAGTAGGCGATGGAGATAGCGAAAAAAAATGATCAGAGTCTCCACACCCTCCAGACCACCATCGAATACGCGATCATGTCCCGCCCCAAATTGGAAAAAAAACGGTTGTATTATGTAATGAATTAACCATCTACATCCACAGTACTCACGACTGCAAATAATTAGTCAGCTCGTAGTCCCCAAAATATATATTCATCCCTCTTGATCCTACTTCCTCCCCATCACATCTGATATAATTGAAACAAAAAACGGTTACACTCCTATGAACTGTTAATCAACATCTCATATCTTTGATAACTATCAGGATATTGAGTTCAAATCTCTATATCGGCAGCTCCTCTCGCAACAATCTTCTATTGGCTGACTGTAATCAACAAAATCACACGCGCATACTCAGTCAACCAAAAAGAAGGAAGAGAGATAGAGAATCAAGAAGAGAGAGTACAGACTGACGACACAGACGACTGTTTCTTTCTGACTGAGAGTCTATTCGTCCACTAGTTTTCTTTATCGCAATACCCTCCTCCAACCGTATTCTACAGTCACAAGATCATCATTGATCATTTAAATTTCTATTTTTTTCACATTCAGCTATTCGACAACCGTTCAAACTAATTACGATTATAATCGTTTGACGCTAATCATATTGCACTATTGGCAAAACCGAATTAGAAACACATATCATAATCTCTAGTACAAATTATTCCGACTAATTAAAATGATTACCGCCCAACCGTTGGCGTTAAAAACGCCAACACTAAGGAGAAGTAGGAGTTTATCATTCAAATTTCATATCATAGATATCATAGATGGTTAATGAGCTTCTCTAACATATAAACCACTTCAATACACTAACTCAGACATATCCCCCCCCCCACAAGAAACAACATTATAAAATAAACTTAATTACAACCTAAATGTTAATATTTCTAGAAGAGGACGTTAAGCCCTCAACAGATTCCGATGAAGATGTAGCAGCTAGAATGAGATTAAAGAGGAAACTGCAACGAAATCGAACATCATTCAGCCAAGAACAGATAGAAGCGCTTGAGAAAGGTAATATTCATATTTGAAATGAAGATTGAAACGTTATGATGCAATTTTAGAATTTGAAAGAACACATTATCCTGACGTTTTTGCACGTGAACGGCTGGCACAGAAAATTGGGTTACCTGAGGCTAGGATACAAGTAAGTAATGTTTTATTGAAAATGAAAAAACAAAAAAAAACTTTCTTATTTTGAAAAAATGCTTCCATCTTTCTCCAATATACTCACTTCTTTCATTCAAAAATATATTTGTTTGATATCGAAGTATTCCGAAGATATTTTGGCGGGCAACCTTGGCGCATTTAAGTCACACCGATTTGCATTTGACAACTGAACAGTGGTTACATCACATCTTCGATATTTGACTGACAGGGTCTCGGTTTTGAAACTTATGTCCATCTTTCTTAATAATACCTCTTCTTCATAAGGTTGTTGAGTGATATTGGGGCGAGAAATATATCAGCAAACATACCGTATGACATTTGACATCAAATCCTGCCCGAATCGGTTCTAAAAATCGTTGAACGGAAAAGAGCCGAGAGTTTTTTCCAATATTATAGTCTAATTTTCCAATCTTTCAAGAAAATTTCGTTTTTTGATCAAAAACTTGAATACAAGTGTGGATTATAGCACATGATATCATTGTTCTTCGTTTCAGGTCTGGTTTTCAAATCGACGAGCTAAATGGCGTAGAGAGGAAAAGTTGCGGAATAAAAGATCCAATAACATGGATACTTCTATGAGCACTACGGGTAGTAATCCCTCCAGCACAACAACCAGTAGCTCGCCAACACCGTCACAAAGCCGTTTTTCAACAAATATAGCACCTGTAAGTGCTAGTTTTGTGCCAACGGGAGCAGCTCAGATGTATGGAGGCCTTCCACCCCAACCTACAATGGATCCTTAGTAAGTTCTTTGAAACTTTTCGAAACTCAAGTGTCTTGCGATCATTTGATTCAAACTGTCTTCAACCAATTATAACCGTTTAAAATCTATATGGTAAGGCAAGAATCGTTTGTATTTGTCATAGTTAGTCTCGAAAACGAATTGTTGCTTCTCACTTGTCGACACAATCGTCAAGCGGCTGTCTCTCAACATGTTTTGTGACACTAATTAAACATGTCACACTTGAATAGGCATATCTTTTTGAGAACCGTCGTTGTTTCAGTTTTGGTTTTTCTAATCCTGGTCTCGGAATGGGCTATCAGACAACAGATTTCAACTCCCATCATATGTTTAACACTCGGTCCCCTTATGATGCTTTTAATGTAAGTGTTAGAGAATATGAGACAATCCGAACAAATCTTCTTTCAGCCTTACGGTCGATCTCTTCAAGCTACTCACAGCTTTCAACCACCTATGAGTGCATCAACTCCCACCAACGTTGGAGGTTAGTACATAACTTTTATACTCAGATATGTGAAAAATGAGAAAAAGAGAGAGAGAGAAAGAGAAATTTTTTTGTAGAACTAGGGGGAACTACAGTAACCTATGTTGACCCCATTCTCATCTTGTTGACATGCACAGATTTTAATCAGTTTCTTTCTGTGTGAGAACAGGGAACGTTAACGAATAGGAACTAACAGATGTATTTTATTTGAAACAGAGTCATATACAGTGTCATTAGAGAGAAAGGGAAATATTGTCTTTCAATCAAAACTCAATAATACCTAAGCTTGTCTAAATCTTCATCATCAAGTTTAAACAAAGACAATTCTGCGACGAAAATCATTAAAGGTACTACTAGCTAAGACATATAGCCTATAAATCTCAATAAATTGGTGTCGCTGATTTATTACCCGATAATGTCGGAAGCGACTTGTCATTACATTGATTGATTAGGCTATTTGCACGTATTCAACCCGTGCGGTGAAAGCAATAAACTCAACATCATCAAACGTTCCATCTTCAATCATCTATAGGATAAAACATAATAAAATCTGTCTTTTATTACATTCACTAGTGAGCAGTAGCAGTAGATAGATGTTGAAGACAAGAGAGAGACAAAAAAATTTTTTTCCTCACCATATTTGGCATTGAAAAATCAATTTTAATACGAGCCAGATGTGCTATCGGTATGAACAAACATCCGCCTGTTGTCACATCAAATTACATAGACATTGTCTGGAAAAAAAAGATTTTTTTTCTCATTCAATACTTCACAACGAATTAATCTCAACACGAACAAAGGAACATTGTTGAAAATATGAAATGAGAGTCATGATTTCTTAAATTGCGAATAAGAGTGAATAGATGGGGATATGACATGCTGAGACAATATAATGTCATCTTTCTCATTCTTCCCCAACAATTTCATTTTCAAACCTTTTCTCATTTCAGGTATTACTCCAGGAATGACAATTCCAGTATCAGCCGTCTTAAACAGTTTGGATCCTGTTGCCGCATCTGTCCCACCTCAACCATCTATGCACGATTTATCAACAGCTACAGCTTCTGTTGTCAGCGATCAGCATGATGCTAGCCATTACTGGAGATCTTAGATGTCTTTTCTGAACCTCAAATATTGATTGTAGAATTTTATCTGTGGTGAACCCGAATGCCTTGATTTTTATTCCATTTTTCTTCCATCTATTCCTCCTCTTATCCTCTGTTGTGTCTTCTCCATCATGAATTCCCTCAATTTCTGTGTTTCTGTCCTACCTGGTCCCTCAACAGTAATCTCTTTAATCATCCTCCTTGTATCATTTGAAAATCGTCAGAACATTTGTGCAAAATTTGATAATAATTTAAACTATTGACCTTCATTTTCGATATATTTAATATGTTTTTTTACCTTTTTTTTCTCTTTTTTTTTGTTTCCAACCGAGTCTCATATTACATTTTATCGAAAGAAATGCATTTCTATAATCTTTTTTATCAAACTAGTCATACGTCATCCAATATATTGGTTTATTGTCTCCGATTTTCAACCTTCTTACAATGCATATATAGTGTCATCCAAATTTTGTTTTTTACTTGTTTTCCCTTAAAATTCGTTACACTTAGGGTTAAATAAATCCTTAGTTATCATTTTCATCTAATTTAATCATAAGGAAAGGGGATACACAGGGAATTCCTTATAAGGAACATACACAAGGAACTCCTAATAAGGAACTCCTTATAAGCAACGTTCTCGCTGAACTCCTTAATGACAACGTACAAAGAGAACTTCTTGTTAGCAACATACATAGGGAACACCTTGTTAGCAACATACACAGGAAATTCCTCGTAAACAACATTCAGATAGAATATTGTAGGTATGAAGAATCTCTTTTGAGCGAAAGGCTTTGAGATCGAATTCATCTTCCTCAAAATTTTTACGTACAAAGAGAACTTCTTGTTAGCAACACACATAAGGAACACCTTGTTAGCAACATCCAGATAGAATATTGTGGATATGAAGAATCTCTTTTGAGCGAAAGGCTTTGAGATCGAATTCATCTTCCTCAAAATTTTTAATCACAACCTTATAGGCCTGCAAAAAAGGTTCAATGATGTTCAAAGTATTTTGCAGTATTCGGATGAATTTAACAAATCTCTCAAACTTGGAGCAGATTCCAAAGCCCATCCGAACTCTTTTGGCATTTAAATGTTATACATCTGCGCAATTACCAAATGCACAATTTAAAATATAATTGCCTTCTTCTCGGAATTAATTTCCTCGGTGTACGGCAAACTCAGAACATGGATTAACTATCATAATTACTCATTTCCTCCCATATAATCATGTATCCATTATTCATTTGCAAAACTTCTTGTTCAAGCTTCAGTTTGGTCAACGTGATGTTACATGCCACTACGTAAGCCACATCTTGGAAGTAAAATTCTTATTAAAGATGAAGCTGCAAAAAAAATCTTTGACGTCTTATTTGTAACAATGATCATCGGATGTCAAATTGGAGAACACAAATGAGCATCTCTCAAAGCTACAGTTATTCAGCAAAAAAAGGCAACATGTCTAATGAAATGAATAGAAAGTTATTGAAGAAGAAGCATCAGCATGAGGCTGTGACGAGAGCAAATGCAAAAGAACATAAATCATTCTTTACAAATGATAAAGGCTTTCTCTCTTTCTCATTGACAATATGGTTTACTTCGAGTTCATTTGCACAATTGTTTCGAAAAAAAACAAATCTTTCTCACATTTAATCAGTTTCGCTTTACTAAACTTTGCAAAAACAAAAGAAATGACGTATGAAATTCGCAGTAATATTTTCCTATTAAGGAAACAGGAAAAGCAAGCCAAATGACGTAGTTGCAAACTGAAATATTTTTTGTGCTCGTTCAAACACAATACCTTTAGCCATAGTTATTGTGTGCTTTTAACCGATATCATTATGTCCTATTCTCATTAACTCTCCAATTCTACATATAATATGAAAAATTATATTATTCTACTATTCCTTAACATATCATTTGTGAATATGGCTGAGATAAATGCTGTTCATAGCTTAACATCCGGTAAATCAATTGCTTCTAAGGTATTTTCAAATACATAACAAATCGTTCATCACAAAAGCTTTTTGCAGAGAAATCTCTTACGTACAGTATCTAGTGTTGAATCAAATGATGATTTGGATAAGTTTGAGGATTACTATGAACCAAAAGAACATAAAAGTGGATAAACAATAATCATTTCAAATAAGCTTATACAACCTTTTCAGTCAAATGTCATAATCAATATCATTGTGATAGTGAGAAGGATCATGATACTCATCAATGTATATCCATCTATCAACTATGTAATGGTCATGAAGATTGTGCCAATGGAGAAGATGAAAGTCCTATTCATTGCTTATTCTATCGAATGGTAAGATTTCTATAGAATCAATCATTATAGCATCATTCATTGTTTCAGCAAAAATCAATGAATAACATGATAATCAAAAGATTGAACGATATTGAAGATAAAATTGGATTTTTGGAAGAAATGTATAAGGTTGAAGTGGAAGAATAGAAATATGATGTTGCATGTGTTGCTCATAACAATTGAATAAATCATTTTTTGTTATAAATATAATGAAATAAATATAATATATAATTAAAAATGATCAATATCAATATAGATATTGATGTTATGTGATACAGTTCAAATGGCAATCATATATTAAAATAATAAATCGATATATTAAACTGTTGTGTAGTGTAAACTGTGTTGGGCGTTTATAATCTCAACGCGATTGTCAAATGTACGCAACGCGGCAAAATAATTTTAGTGTTCGAAGGTCAATTAGACGTCAACTTCTTAAATTAAAATAAAATATAATTATTATAATTATTGTATTGAATCATTCTTATTATAATTATAATTATATTATATGTATACTATACATATAGTTAGTGTTCATTTTCATATTTCGTATTATTTCGTATATGACTGTTGTAATTGTTTATTATAATAGATGGAAGAAATAAGGCGACGTTCTTCATCCTTACCATGCAATCGTCGTACTGTTTTTGAATTTTCACCGATAAGAGATGCACTACCATCTTATCATTCTGTTGGTTCTTTATATGATGAAGTTTGTTTTGTTTTATATATTTAAATTGACTTAATGTTATTGCAGGGAGGCTATGGAAATGATGATTTCATAGATGATCATATATCAGAATTGATTGCTCCACATCCATTAGCTCGATTGGTTAATCCACCCCCCGCAGTTTCTGCTGATTGTTGTACTACTTGCCGGAAATATGAAAATGCTTCTTTGCATCAACATAATCTTTCAATGCCCTTTTGTGTTCCTTTATTATCCGTCAATGCTCAGGTATAGATGAAACTATTATTTTTGTTTTGAATAATATTATTTCAGATGATTAGAGTATACCATTTATCATTAGATACAACTACATTAAGTGAAGATGGTAAGAATAGGTTAGAAATGGGAATTGTTGATTTTCTCTGTCCGTTAGAGGTAGGCATCATGTAGATGTTATATATCAAGCTTTAACATTACAGGTTCCTGAAGAAGTTTTGCCATATATAGCCTTTTTGGGATTCAATTGTGAAGTTAGAATGGGTGATCCTAAAGAAGGAGAAGAAGATGATGTATGTTTCTAATTCTATACTCAATCATTGTAATTAATTATTGTATAGATATGGTTTGCCCGCGGTCTGATCGGTCATTGTGAAGATCCTAAGCAAAGATTGAACTATGCAGATTTGATGAAGCAAATGCAAATGTACAATGGTCCCTTCTTCAAAGAATTCAAGCTAGTCAAGTATTTCTCAACCTCATATAGATGTTTCAACTTATCTTTCTGAATTTAGATGTCCGAATACAGTAACTCAATTTCTTAGCCTTATGAATCTAGCGAGTAAAGGATATCGTTTAGTTAAGATAGTAAAGCCATATGAAGATTCAACTGATGATATTCCTTCCGTAAGTTTTGAAAAAGAGATTTTCCAGAACATAATATGCTTTTTAGGCGCTCAATCTGCATTACAATTGAGAGTTAAACACATATCAAGTTTTATCAATCTTTCATGCCAAATTCTTGTTACGTTTTATGAAGTCTATATGAATGTTTATAGAAGATACACCTTATGCACAAAATTTTAAAAATTATCAGTTAACGTTACTTGTTGTAATCTCAAATGGTAACAATCATTAATGACGGTTTTCATTTATCTTGATACTCCGATGATATATCATTGAAATAAGCAAATTATAAATGTAATAATCATATTATTATTGTTTGATGAGAATAGAAAAGTACATAGATAGATAGATATATATATATATATAATAAGTGTATCGTTTCCAGTTTCTGCCTCTTCATTGTATTCAAATGATACGGAAATCATTCACATTCGACGCTGAAACAAATATATTATCAGGTATTGACAAGTTTTACATTTGCATTCACAAATCATTTTTGTTTGTTTTTTTCAATTATTTACTTATCACTGTTTATCATCATCTTTCATTACCAGAAGTAGCTTGTAGTTTTTCATTCACCCACTAAACTTCAAGAAGAATGTTTTTTAGTTGAATATTCAGACTATTACGTTATTCAATAAAGGTTCTCACATTATAGTTCTTTTGTAATAATTTTTAAACAGTATGCACTGCTTCTACTTTCTGTTTGTTTCGTATATCGAACGTTTAAACACAAACATGGAAATATTCACATTCAGAGTTAAGCAAGAGATCTCTTTGCAAATCATTTTATTGATTAACATTTAGGGGAAAGAGAATCACGGATACTCTATGGCAAGAAGGAAAAGCTCTACTCTGATATGATATCTGATCACGAGCTTCGAGTGTTCTGAGGACTGTTAAAGAGAAAATCTAAGGTATTGAACAACTCTAAGGCACTTTCTGCGTTTTAAGTATCACGGATGTATGAAACGAGCTCTGCCTGTGAGTGAGATAAGGTTATCAAGGCACGGTATGTGTATGAGGCATCTGTGAGTGAATTAATAAGGCAATTTTAATACTAAGAGGACGTTATAGCTTAGGTGAGCTACTAGTTCATATAATCATTCCTACACTCATGCTAACTCGATGGTAAAAGACACGTTCTACGTTCTAGGTAATGTGGGCTAGAACGACAACCAGTGAATTGGAGATAGCCAAAGTAGGATATGAGGAAATGTATTTAACTTAAGTATATGAAACGGATATGGTATTCAAGGTGCTTACAATAATATTGAGATGCAATTAAAGAAAAGTGAGAAGAAGAGTTGTTGTTAGAACAATAATAGAGACATAAACCATTCTAACAATAGACTTTCTATCATGTTTATTTTTGAAGAGAATGCATTCTTCGGTATCTTTCTTCTTCAAGAGAACACAGTCGACCCGTTTCACAGTAGCAAGAGCTCGGTTGCCTTCACATGATTCCTCAATGCCAATACAAACGTTTCTCAGATTTCTTTCTATCAGTTCACAATCATTTGCGGGAATTTTTCTTATTACTGTAGTACACCGCTCTTGATTATAGTTCTTGACAGCAAAAACGCTTTCAATTCTCTCACTGATGAAAGTATAGTCCGTTTTATCATTTTTCTTCGAACAATTCTCATTACTGTCATGACTCTCATCTCTGGGACAATCGCTGGCATCTTCTTTCCTCATGAAAACAGTACCACAGGCATGTTTCTGCGTCATAAGAAGTGAATGTTTCTCTGATTTGACTGCAGGATTACTGTCTTGACTTCTTTTGATAAAAACACAGTGATTGTTATCTTCTCTTACGTAACGATACTTTTTTCGTTGCCTTCTAGTTTCCCTCTTCTTGGAGCAAAAGTAATCATGAGCTTTCTTGCAGGAACAATAAGGATTGAACATAAATTCATATGCAAATCCTGGCCTTGGCATGGGAACACCAAAACAAGACAAGACAGAATTCTTCAGTCTATTTCCCAAAACAACACGAGCACTCGCATTTTTCAATATTGATTCACCATAAGCAACCGTTCTGTACAAGCAACTTACTCCTGGCTTCAGTTTTCGAGTAGTATCCTGTTTTCCACCATTTGCAGAACTGGAATCAATATCCTCGCAGCAATAGTCAACTGAAAAGAAAACAATCTTTCTCATCATCTATCATTGTAGATATCATGTTATTCTGGAAAAAAATCCAAAATTTACCTTTTCTTCTTTTGCCAGCACTCGGGATGCATTTCTCGCTCACTTTGCGGCCTTCATTTGCTTTGCTTTCATCTTTTTTTTCAATATCTTTGTCAGATTTGTTATTGTCAGTCTTTCCACTAGAAACAGTTTTACCACTTGGCTTAAGCTTTTCTGTCTCATCGCTTTCTTTGTTTTCCTCCTTTTTTCTCGCATCTTTCGGTTCAGTTTCAGCTTTCGCTACGTTATTCATCTCGATGTCATCGCTTGTTTCATTAGGAGAAGTTAAAACCGCTTCTTCATCTGCGTCTTCAGTTACGACGTTCCTACAGTAAGTCCCTTCAACCATAGCAGTACCATTATGGGAGTTAGGCTGGTGATGTTTGTCAAGCCAGTTTTCGACAAGTTTGTCAGGTTCTTCCTCAGGAGCATCAATGACGCTAACTTTTTTCTCCACCTTTTCTTGTTTAGGAGTAACTTTACGGCTTTTCGTTGTTTTTTTAGCCGGTGCCTTCTTTGTAACTTTCTTAGGAGTAGCAGGTGTTGTTTTTTCATTCTTCTTCTTAGAAGCTGGAGCTTTTTTGACTACTTTCGTAGTCTTCTTAGGTGGAGCACGAGCCTAAAATAAATTTTTTTTAGTAAAAATAGCATTTGTATTCAAACCTTTGTAACGCGACCGCGTTTTGCCACTGAACGGCTTGGAGGCATAATTATTAGGAGAGCTCTGAGAAAAATAAATTAATAAAGTGGTTTGATTGTGATAATGCGAGAGGCCACAGCAAAAAGAGAGAATACGAAAAGGAATAAGCAAAATAGTGATGGATAGAATGTCAGAGGAGATGTGGAGGGAAATGAGAACACAACTCTGTGTGGCTGGCTTCAAGCACACAAATGGAGCATTTCACTGGCTAGCAACGGCACGCCCTCTCATTATTATTATTATTTTGATGCTGTATAGTAATAAAAGGCGGAGCCTAGACAAATACGAGATATCTAGGATTTAGATCAAATTATAGAAAAATAGAAATTATGAAATCACATGACAACTGTGGTGCATGAAAGGATTAGAATAACAACAACGTTTCCAATCGTCATTAGTATCCACAGAAAACGTTTCAATGTAAGCTGTCTGAAGCAGACAAATCCGCACAACTGCGGGTTTCTGCAAACGTAATTGTGGGTTTGGCCAGGATATATTCAACGATTTGAATATGAGTACATTCAATGTACTATATCTTCTTCAAATCCCATTTTATGATTCAAATAAAAAAGGATAAATGGTCATAGTACGTAAAGAAAACGATTGAAGTTGTCAAGACATCGTCATTCGTAACCTAGCAGCATTGAAATCGTAATAGAAAGAAGAATTTTTTTTAAGATGGTTCAATTTGAATGAATAGATCTGAGCTATTCATCAGATGCTTCATAGGTACGGATAATCAATGAACCGGAAACTTGTTTTCATGAGTCGTTTGTCAGGAAGTTTTGAAGTGAAGAAAACGTTCTACTTAGGCATTGGGACACTCCCGTTCTTTTGACAAGTTTTAGAGAAATCAGCTACCCGTTGACGAATAGCAAAAAATGACTTCTGCTCTCAACAAAAATGCCCCCAAAAAATAAAAACTATACAACTAGAGATTGTTTGTATGCAATACTGTTCAAAACGAAACCAATCGTAGTTATATAGTTTGTCCTTGAGTAATCTTTCCCAGCATATTGTAGTCCAGGACAAATAGAGTTGTTGATCTCAGTGAAAGACGATTACATATTGCTGTAGGCCTTCATCGACTTCAGAATTTTGCCAAGCCGAATCAATACTCCGCTTCAGCAGCCCCACTCCTTCTGCCTCTCGAATACTAACGCTCCTTCTACATATTCTCAGAAGAAACTTATAACCAGCAACGGATATGTAAAATGTAACATTTTAGAGTGGAGTGAGCGATTAAACATGTGTACCAAATAGAATAAGTCACTCAAAGCCTGATGAAATGAAATTAATTGTTCACTCACTTTCTCCTTTTAAGCTAAATAAGAGAAAATTAACAAAATTAATTTCATCACTAGAGATGTTCCTTTATCTTAAGTATGAGAGAAGTATGAAAGAAGTTATAGAGAAATAGAGAAGCATATATAATCAGTTGAAACAAAAAAAAATGTGAACCATAGGAGAGTTTGAGTATATCAGATTCATTCCGTACTTCTCACTTTCAATTTGAACAACTATAACGGAACTCAAACAAAATTTCATTTCATGAAAATGATTAGATCTACTACGTCAGCCATGAGCAACTGATGAACATGTTAAACGCGAAAATGACAAATGAGAACGGTTGATGACACTATGTGCGAGCGTATTAGAGCAGATGTCATGAAAATGTAATTGAGAACAATAGAACATCTGACATTGAATATAAAAATTTGATTGCTCGGCAAGGAGCTGTCAACAACTAACCAAAAGAACATTCGTTGAAATCTATAACCAATGGCTTGGACGACAAATTTCTTTGTGCATCAACCCCAAATCATGTCAGAATGAATGTAAATGAGAAAAAAGCACAAAGCACACATTGCTATATGAAACCTTACTATTCAGATGACTGTTAAGTTATTAATGAGCTAACTTCATTATATATTCTATCATTTAAATATATACAAGGTATTTGCAGCCTTAATGAAGTAAACGAGCAAATGATATTCAAAAATTCTTATATGAATACGTTCAGTGTTTACGTAGATACTGAGATTCCAATAAGATTTTCAATAGAAAAAGGATGTAAAAGCCGTTAGATCTCAGATTAAGAAAGAATGAAAGATAAATCATTTGAGAAGACAAGCAGCAGAACTCAAATATAGATTAGTTGGAAATGAGTTTATGACTCGTATGCAGGCTGAATGACTAGAACGAATGTTTTCATTTTTCATATACGACATTACCGATTGTAATATTTCTTTTTCCTTTTTCACAACAAACTTTGATTAGAAGAAAAAACATAAAGAGAATGGAATGAGCAAGGACTCTCTGTCTATGACTCCTAAAATTGATAAATGTTACGGAAAAAGGATGAGGAAATGTCATATTATGATAGAAAGGAAACTGTGCAAACTTCTATCTAACACTGTTGAATATACAACATATGAGAAGTTCAAATGAAACTATGAATAAGAATGAGACATAGTCTAACAAGCGTGGGTCATGAACGCTTTATTGCGTATTAGACAGTTAAAGGTCATCCGCCGCCGACATTTTTGTTAAATGACAGCATGCTGTTCAAACTAATAACTCTAAGAGAAGAGCTTCTCATAGCCTTTTGGAATGAATTTGTTTTCATTGTTAGTTACCATTTCTTCAAATTGCTCATGACATTACCATTCATTAGAACAATTGTTCTATGCTCATGTTATTGTGCCGGCTGGAGTATGGTGAATAATATATATTATAATTTTGAGATAATTAAAGGAAACACATGTATTCTCTCTCTCTCTCTCTCTCTCTCTCTCTCTCTCTCTCTCTCTCTCTCTTACTGTGATTATAACAAGGCAAACATCTATTATATTATTCTAATATTCTATTCATTTTATATTAGAAAATTTTTCGTTAATTTTCATCATTGGACCAAAGATCTTACTAATAATCTTGAAACCATAGGTTACTATTCAGCATATATATGTTATTAATATTTCAGATTCATTTCTTTTAATACAAATTTTGGAAAGAAATACAATTTATGATTGAATGATGTAAGATCAAAGATTCATATTCAATTCATATAATGATGATATCATGTCAGATGTATATAGATACAATTGAATTGTTTTTCACAATTAGCAATTAGTTATAACAACGATTTGCTTATTAGTTATAATCTGTATATTCATTCACAGATATATATGATTCTCAATTTTATTTATTCAAAAGAATACTACAAGGGGCAATAAAAATGGTAAATGGATGTGAAGACAGCTTTTGACTTCTCATATAAAATATATTTCTATTCATCTTGTCAATCAATGGCGGTGTATTTATAATGAGTTAACTCATGTTCACTAATGCTTGAGCGTATTGAATTAATTGAATAAGATGGGCCACACCAATTTCTATTATTGAATTAGTTAAGAGAGGTTATACTGAAAATAGAGATCTTCAACATGCACATGGAATGAAGTATCGTTTGTCTGAAGAAAGATTTTAATCTAAGAAATCTAATTTACTTTGGAGTAAATGAAATGAACAAAGCTTTTTCGATGAAAAAAAAGGAAAGTGACTGCATGTTGATACGATACTGAGGAGCAGGAAATGAAACATTGGAAGAGGGGAAAAGCCTCATATGAATTCTAAGAAAGAAGTGATGAATTGCCATCGATTACATGGTTTATTGAAATGAAATGATAGTTCTATTCCATCTAAAAGACAACTGGTAACTTATACGATGAAAATAAAATAGATTAGGATACTCTTCATCTGTCAATAATTGCAAGAAATGCTTAATCATCAGTTGTTGCTATCACCTATAGCTAATTCACATCATTTTCATTAATATAAAGGTCTTAGGTAGTCGTAGTCAAGTAGTGGTAGTATGCAGTTCTTATAATAAGAAAATTGCTAACTGACGTATTGAAAGAAGGATTATCAGATGGACGTGAATAATTGAAGACTTCGAAAGAGAATAAAGATGCAAATGAAAAAAGTATTTAAAAGAAGCTTGGAAGTATATATTTCTAATTTATTTAGATATATTCATAGATTATAATTTATAATAAATTATATTTGAAATATGATTTGACTCTCCAAAATCAAATAAGAACAGACAGCTGACCGACACCAACAGAATGTTGTTCATTGAAGAATATATTTTTTCTTTTTTCATTTCAATTTCAGGGCTTGTCATACTTCATAACAATCTTTTTAATATTACAATGAAATCCTTTTATTCGTACAAATAAGGTTAACGATAAGAATAAAGATAATTCATCTTTATATATCTGTCACAATTCTCATTTTTCAACTGACTCACACACTCATTTTCATAAATAAAATTTATGTAAAATAAGAATTTTATTACTACTAGGAGATTTCTCTGTTTTACAAAATTTTGCAATAGTTAGCCTATTTCGTAAACACACCTAACATTAATCATACTTCAAAAAAAACGAGTACCCTAAGTGAAATTTTGATACAATAGATAAGTAGTAACATTAGTCATAAGATAAAATTATATACAGAATTGAATCCTTATTCTTCTTTTTGGATTCGTTTCTCACAGTTGTTCTTGTATTTATTGTTAAACCCTTTGAATTGTGAGCTTTGGTATGGTCTATTCCTTCTTCTGTAGTTATTTTGATAACTGAAACGATAACGTCGAGTTTTTTTCTCTCTCTCTTGTGATTGGTCCATGAATAGCCAGTCGTCCAGATAATTAACGCAACGGATACCCTTCTGCCTTAGTTCGGCCGCTAACACTCTCATAATCTTATGGAAGATGAAAGGTGCAGTACATAAACCAAACGGTAGACGGTTGAAAACGAACGTGATACCTTGGTGTCGAAAGGCTAGGTATCTTCTGTCTTCTTGCGTAATAAAAAAACGTAAATGCGTAAAGGTATGGAGTAATAGGCTGAAGAGAAGTCTATTTTTGTAAACCAGTCACCTCTTGATATGATGTCTCGCAGGGTTCTGGGGTTCTCCAATTTAAAGTGTTCGGTAGAAATGAAGGAATTAAGTCTTTTGAGATTTAGAATGAGTCGTTCTTTCCCGTCTTTCTTCTTGGCGAAGAATATCAGAGAATAGAAAACTTCTTTCTCTTCCGCAATGAATTTTATTCCCTGATCGAGCAGTTCCTTTATTGCTGGCGTTATTGGAAGGCTAGGGTTATCTTTTACCCGAACGGATAAAGGAGGTTTTTTGAACAGGGGTATGCGATAACCTGATACCGCTTCTAGTATGCGTAGGTCGGCCGATAACAAGTGCCAAAACGCTCACCGGGAAATAGTGGAAATAAAAACACACCTGGATCTGCTGCTACGCCTTGGTTCTTTCTTGATGTTTTTGAGTTCTGCTCTTAGATCGCTTCCGAAAATTTCTCTTGCCTCTTCTTCGGTAGCTTGGTTGATGGTGACTTTGTTTGCGAGTGGGGCAGTTTTGAAAGATGGTATATCCGCCGTTGGACGGGAAATACCCAAGTTTTTGAGGTGGCTCTCTCGAAGATGTATAAGTTTTGTGCGGATGCCTGCTGACGCGATAGTTTCCAACACCTTCATCAGCCTGTCGCGTCGCTCGAAATCTTTCTTTCTGTCTTTTTTATGGATGACGTTTAATATGCTTAGCAAGTAGAGGATAATGAGCAGGGTTTCGTAGTCGTTTTCGACCTCCAATATCCTAGCGTCTGGTTTGGAGGGGGCTCTAAGTTTTTTGTCCAGAATGGGGATAGTGGCTATCGAGCTGTCGATTATGACGCATTTGGATAGTAGTTCTTTCTTCTCGGACGTGGAAAGGTGTTGTCCTGTTGCCAGAAGTTCAAATCGGGCCTTATGTTCTCTGGCCAGATAGACCCTTGGCCGTCGGATTGGTCCAATGTGTTCAGGGAAATCGATTTCCTTAGTTCTGGTGGGAGAATGTGAACAGGATCAGGACCTTGTGATTGATCTGGACTTGGATCTTGATCTGGAAACTGAACTCGATCGTCATCTTCTTTCCCTTCTTGAAATCTTGTCTTCATGAATTGGAGTGGCGGAGGAGCTGGAAGACGAACGGGCAAAGGTTCTGTGATGATTCCTAGGGCTCCTGGATCGATGTCGATAGCTTCTTTTGTGGAGTTTTTCTCTTTTGTGGGACGGCATACGGCAATACGAAATAGGCTCACTACAACTACTGGATATGGTTGATCGTAAAAGATTATTACATAATACTATATAAGCATGAATATAAGGTACATTGAGAAGTTTGAAATCTGACTGAGATTTAAATATTATTATTGAAATATAAAATAAAATCTATACAAGAAAATATATATATATTCTGTAAAAAATTTAATTTAGAATGATCATTTAATGTTGAGCTTAGTGTGATTTTTTTAATCGATCAAAACGATTAAACTCGACATCTCATCGAGATTAATCGATAAATATTACTTGGTTTATAACCGGAATAGAAACAAAATTGTAGTAATGTGATATCATTTATTTATTCATCAATAGTAAGATCATCAGTAATGTCTAAACAGTTAACAGCTTGAGTCAATGTAGAATCCTCTTGATCTTCTCTTTTGTACAGCCTATTCATCACATCTTTTTCTACATTTTCGTCTTCTTCCTCAGTACTTGGGTTTATCGGACTCTTGGTGCTTAAAAGTGATATTACTATGTCATCTGAAATGATATAACTTACGATAAGGTGGAAGACAAGAACAGCAGCTTCGAAGCTGTTGTAGCGAGCATACGTTTTTTTTTTCTGTCTGTACAGCCATGCTGCTGAACTGAACAATCTTTCGACATCGCAACTAGATGGAGAAGATACGCAGAGTTCCCAAAAAAATGATTGTTGTTTGTGTGGTCTACATGATCTGCCGAACTCTATGTAGCTTGTCATCTCGGAGCTTTCTTGGTCTCCTCCATAATCCTCTAGAGGATGGATTTGATCATTTGGTTTTTTCCAACTTTTCTTTATTGGAAAATGTTAAGATAACGAATGCCATTTTTTACAATTTAGAATGTTGGCATCGAAAGCAAGTCTCGGATCTAACACTAAAAACTGAAATGTAAAATGTTAGAAAGTTAGAACCATATCTATTTTACCTTCAGAAAAGCTTCGTTGTTCGATTCGATGAATATTTCAAATCTGTGGTTATGAGGAGATTGCAACCAGATTGAGATTAAAGTGTTCTCGGGATATTCCAATAAGCTTTCTTTGTATCGAAGAAGACCTCACGCTGCTGATTTACCTTGACCAGCAAACTCTCGCCGTAGATTTGAGAATTAATGAGATCCGTAATGTTTCAATGCCATACAACCGCCCAGATGAAATAATAGATAAGAAAACCGAAGTTTCTGATCTCCATAAAAATAATATTACGGAAATGGAAGTATGTTTCTGTTATATTTTCATTTTTTTGTTATTTTTGTCTTTTTCTCGGTTTATATTGATATCAACGCAGTGGTTACACCTACTTCTTTCACGTAAATGCTTTTAACTTCACAACTTTCAGGTGATTTCATGGTGGCTCCACTCCTAATCAGTCTGTTCCTTGCGACGCTCTTACTTCCAGGTGAGACAAATCTTTTGAGAATAAATGATTGGAACTTTTCGAGTTCTTATTTCAATGGATATTTCCGGTATAAGTGAGATAATGAACAACTTCCAGAAAACGTAGCCTTCCCTGACAGCTCTCTGTCAATTTCTGCAACTACGACGCCTATGACTCCACCAGTGTTTGACTTCGACACTGAATTTAAGAAGCTGTCCAAAACGTGTTTGAGCAACGAAGATCATGAGCAGTTATGGAACAACACTGTTCATTATTATTTTGCACGCTCATACAATCTATTTTTGATTCAAGCAGCGCTAGAGAGGATTGGCCAGACGGAGATGAGAACGACACTGAACTTCTCGCCACGTCGTATCTGGAAATCCTGGGGAATCCGAGTCACCGAAGAATCCGGGAGAATACGCGCTTCTTTTAAGCCCAGTGAAAGCGAACTGGCATCGGCGAATACCATTGAATCTTACTACAATCTTGTAGAACCGCGTTACGTATTTCCCACTGCCGCTATGATCCCCGTGGAGGGAAATATGACTCCTGCCATTGCATTCTTAGACACTCGTTTCCCCTTCATTCGTGCCTATTACAGGCATAGTTTTGAAAAAATCCTTTATCGTGATGGAAGAAAGATAAATAGAAAATTAGTTGATGACATGATTGACAAGTTCGAAGAGATTGTATTTAAATTAAGCGATACAATGGATCCGATGTTTGGTTATTCTGGTGAAAAGTCTAAAAACTGTGATGTATAATGAAAAAATATGCTTGATTCAGATTATTCACAAATCGTCTGATTGACCTGTTTCCTCACTCCTTACAGTATCTTTCATATACTTTGTAC